GTGCCCTTGCCCAGAGTCAGTTGACTTCCTGAAACTACTCGCGAAAACAGCTGCACGGCGGTTTTTCAACGCCGAGCCAACCTCCTACCAAGCTGCCAAGCTCTTACACCAATACCGGCAGCGGTGGTCGGTGGCTCTTCAGCGTGGGCAGTCGATTGGGTACCTGGAAAAGTGCAACATAGCAGCAGCGGTTGAAAACCCGCTACTAGAAGCAGTGGGAGAGGCCCCGTCCCTTGGGGACTGCCTCTCGGTTCTTGATCCTGCACTGGATCTCACTTAGAGGGTGTTGGGCGGATGGGTGGATAGGAACTTTATTCTGTACTAGCCACGTGACCACGTTCACGTATGTCTTGCATGCATGTACACCCTGACTATCAATGAACGGGCCATTAGAGAGAGAGAGAGAGAGAGAGAGAGAGACAGTGAGGGACAGCTGCACCAGTTGATCGAGGCCCCTTTCGACCAGTAGGGTCGGACAAGGGGGGGGGGCGGAGTAGGTGGGGGACTTGAGGGGGATAGAATACCGGTTTGTGTGTTTGTTTATGCTTTGTGTTTTGCATCTTCCTTTGTACCACCCCATATGGAATGCAAGGACCATTCGAGAGAGAGAGAGAGAGAATGCCGCCAAGAAAATGGCCTGCCACTTCAGCCAGCGCTGGTCAGTGGCCCTCCAGCGCTCTCAAGCGAATGCCCTGCACACCAAGGCCAGGGCAGGGATCGAGGCGGCGCACCCCCAGATGGCAGCAGACCCATGGCCGCTGCACCTGGGGGACATCCTCCACACGCTGGAGGGGTAGAGGGTCACTGAGGGGGGGGGAGGGTCAGAGGGATGGGCCAATGGGGCAGAGGGTCTAAAGGGAACCACAAATCAAACCGTATGCTTGTACCGCCGCTGAATTAATACAAAGGACCATTTGAGAGAGAGAGAGAGAGAGAGAGAGAGAGAGAGAGAGAGAGAGAGAGAGAGAGAGAGAGAGAGAGAGAGAGAGAGAGAGAGAGAAAGAAAGTACGACAGACCCATTGAGGTCAGTCGGGATCACCACACTCAAGGTTGTGGATGGCCCTGTAGGACCAAGGGGGAGAGATAAAGGGACGGGAGGGGGAGACGAGACGAGAGGTACTGCGGCTGGGAATGGGAGGCGGGCTGGTTGTAACGTTTCAGCTGGTGGCGAGGATGGCGCGGAGGGCAGGAGGAAGGAAAGGAGGCAGGGGGGTAGTGAGGTGCATAGTGGTGGAAAATCACAAGTAGCAGACGTTGCATGATGCTAGGAAGGCAGGCAGAGGAGTTGCAAGAAGGGGAGGAAGGAGTTGAGTCAGAGGATGGGGAAACAGGCGAGAGAAGGCAAGGAGAGGAAGGGAAGAGGGGGATGGGCGGTGGCATGGCGGAGACTCACTGCAGCTTGTAATAGTTGACGTAGCGGTCAAAGCCCACCACCACCGCTCCCACCTGGAGGGGTTACAGGGGAAGGCATGGGGTGGTACGGTAGGGGTTAGAGGAGGATGCATGGGGTGGTAGGGGTTAGAGGAGGATGCATGGGTTGGCGGTGCACATGAGATGCATGGGATGGTGGTAGGTGCTTGGGACACCATCCACATACCCATAACACTAACATGCCCTAACCACACACCCACATCACCATCATGCATCAGATACTCACGTCCGCGTCGTGCTCCATGTATTTGCCCAGGCCCAGGTCGATCGACTTCTTTCCATCCTCCTGCAATCCATCAGCCATCAGCACACCGCGCCACAGGCGCAAACAGACAAGCACAGCCAGGAGACACAGAAACGAGGAGAAACGAAAGAGAAAAATGCCAACATACTGATCCGTTCTGTAGCACCTAACGAGGTGAATGTTGTTGCGTGTGAGAGTCACAAGGTCTTCAACGTGATTGATGCTGATGCATGTGAGAGAGACTCACCGGGCCGCCAATGTGGTTGACGCCAGCGAGGTCGAGTTCGAGCTGGATGCCCTGCTCGCCCACCACGTACACCTTCTTGTACCCCACGTGTGTGTGTGAGACTCATTGATCCCCTAGTCTGCGGGTGCGTGTTCGACTCACCGGCCCTCCGATGTGGTTGACACCAGCGAGGTCCAGTTCCAGCTGGATGCCCTGCTCACCCACCACGTACACCTTCTTGTCCGCCGAGAAGTTGATGGACGTTAAATACGCCGCCGCCGCAAACGACGACGCGAAAATCTCCTCCTGAGATAAGGGATGAGGTGGTGGGGGGGAGGTGAGGAGAGGGGCACGGGTCTGGCAGCAGCAAAGGGTAGGGCGCTTCCTCGGTTTCATCACTGGCCCCTCTCCCCAGCTATACGCTCAAGTGCCTCCACTCCACCCACCCGCTACTCTCGCCTGCAACCCATTCCCTTCCAATTGAGCGTGCATGCTTCCCAGAGAGCCCATTCCCTTGGTGATGGTAAAGAGCCCACCTCGGTGACGGTGAGTCCCAGCGACTCAAACTTCTTGCCGTACTGCTTGCGCGACTTGGTCGAGTTGTTCGTCACGAACACCAGCCGCTTGCCCTGCGACACGCGCGAAGAGGGTTACTGGAATGAGCAAACTTCACGATATTGCTTCGCCTAAGTCTTCGTGATAAGTGGTTCACCTATGCGGGCTAGCGCGATTGTCTTAACGAAAACGGGAAACTCGCAGGGTAATTCGCCAAGTTACCATTGCTCGCAGCATGTCAAGAGTTTCCGGCACACCGTCGATGAGCTTATCGCCCTTCCATATGACACCTGGCGGGACAATGTCAGAGGCATGCCCATGCAATGTGACAGACACGGTGAGCACAACGGTGACTGACATGATACATGTACATTGAGTTGCGAAAGAAACAGGTTCAATCAGCAACGAGACACGCAAATTGTGTTGGTCCGTGCATCCACCCGTGCAAATTGAGTTGTGAAAGTTGATCTTGATCGCATCCGTACCGTCGCAGTCAAAGAGGAACGTCTCCACGGAGTCGATCAGCAACGAGACATGCAAATTGTGTTCGTCCGTGCGTCTACCCGTGCAATTTCTAATTCGAACGTCGTTCATGATCGCATCCATACCGTCGCAGTCGAAGAGGAAAGTCTCCACGGAGTCGATCAGCGCCCGCGCGTCCGTCAATAGCGGCGCCTTACCCGCTGCTGCTGGAGAGAAACGGGAATGAGGGATGGAATGTACATGACAATTCGACATAGTTGTTCCAGGTTGGACGTATCTGTTCAGGAGATTGTTAAACTTAAAGGCGCTAAGTATTTTTGCAAATGCGACGGATAGCATCGGTAGATTCCAACAGGTTTCATGTTTTCACTCAACATGTCAGATCACCTATGTTCGTCATTCGAACTAGTTTTTATGAAACGGTGATGTTCGTCAATGCTGTGGTTGTTGATCCCTCCTGATTCAGCCGCATGTAGAGTACGGTGATAAAAGCAGCCATTCGTGTTGACATCACAGGGTGACCGCGGAAAACTCACCATTGGCTGAGCTTCCGCTCTCCGCCTCCATGACGGACGACCCGCTCGATGCTCGCACAGACACAGCGCTTCGCGACGACCACCGTGCGTTGGGCTGCTGCGCGTGCGGCAAAGCTAGTCGCACGCCGCTGATCGCCTGGGCCTGTTGCGACAATTGCTGCGATGACGGCGACGCAGGCTGCAAAATTGCGCGGGAGGTGGAGAGAAGCCGCTGTGCACCGCAGAGCCGCAGGGAATGCGCCATAAGACGAGCAGAGTAAGCAGAGCGCAAAGAAGACCCCTAAATTCCACTTAAGCAAGCAACTCTCCTCCACAATGAGCAGGCGATTGAGTTGTTATCCAAGTGCCTGCCGAATGTGCTGAATGAAATGGCATGAATGAATGAACCCACGGGAAATGCTGGCCAAGCCTACGCGGTCTGGAATCTCTTGCGGGCCAGGCCAGAACCTTCACCCAAGACGAACCAAACCGAGCCTGTTTGCCAGGCAATCCCAAGGTCGGATCAGTCATGATGCCGTGGTGTGTGTAGGCCTAATAGGCTCGGAATTTCACGAACCGTGTTCTTTTGGTTCGGTGAATTTGTGGGTGTCGATTGGTGGCCTTGAGAATGCAGTTGATTTTGACCCTCCAAGATGCTCACGCTCAGCATTCATCCGTCACCTGAGCCACGGAATGATATCCGAGGTGGCTATGTATGACTCGTCGATTGCGGTGACTTCTCTGACAAGGTTCATCCTCTGACGTCAGTCTGCCGTGTCATGAAGGGCTTTCGTAAAAGTCTTACCTTTTAAAGCCGGAAGCCCAAATTGCACAAGTTTTAAAAGGATGACGCGAGGGGTTTTTCCTGGTTTGGGTTTTGGCGAGTGATTCCGATTTCGGGCATTTCGTTTTCTTCGCCAAACCCAGCCAGCCCACGTATTTCGCCCTGGGGGTTGTGTCAGCACCCGAAAGTCACAAATTGCAGGTGCGCTACTTTTCAAAGCTTGCACACTGCACTTCGTCAAGTTTTAAAAGCATGACCCACGCGCCTCGCAATTTGGGACTCGGGCTTTAAGTAAACGTGTCGAGATGGCCGAAGGTGCTGGGTGAAAGGGTGTGGGTTCAAATCCCACTGTCAACAGATGGGCATTTTTGCTTACATAGAAACATGTACAATTTCACGCACCAGTGTTTTGTTTCTGACATATGTTCCTGCCGACTGCACCCCATTTTTTCCCCATTCGCCTGACATTTCTGCTGACATCCAACAAATCCCAAATTCGCCCCACCTGCGCCTTTTACACAATTCACGAATTCTCTCACTCCAACTTCTCCTTGACATCATTTAGTTGTTACGTCTTCCGTCGGATCTTTCTGCTTCTGCTTGCATCAATTCTTGTCTATATCCCTGTTCTTCAGTTGACAAATGGCTCATCGGAGTTATCGTTAATCCTCAGTTCGTTACCCAAGACTACCAATTTGTTCGAAAATCTCTTATCCTAGTCGAAACTAGCATATCCCGTTTCCGATTAGTCCATTTCAGTGATGTCGGCCCCCAGCGACACTCAAGCCACCGAGACTGCTGGTAGCGGTGGTTCCGATGGGAGCGAGAGGGCCGTCGGATTCGTTTGTCTGGGCGCGATGGGTGGTGGCATGGCGGCCGCTCTGGTGAAGCGAGGCTTTGCTGTGAAGGGTTACGATGTGAGTGGCTTGAAGGGATTCGATATGACTGGATCTGATTGAGTGCTCCGCTTTCAGTCCCATCCTTCGCCTCCGCGTCTCTCTCGCCTCGATCTCTCCCCCGCGTCTCCTCCTTTTCCCGGTCTCCTCGTCTCAACCGTCTCCTCCTCCCCTCCCTCCTCTCCTTCCTGCGTCTCCTCTACAACGTAGTCTTCTCCCTCTTCCCCATGTCTGGGCGAAACCGTGTAGTCCAGAATCAATGGGGATGTAGCTCAGATGGTAGAGCGCTCGCTTAGCATGCGAGAGGTACGGGGATCGATACCCCGCATCTCCAGGTTTGCGGGGATAGCTCAGTTGGGAGAGCGTCAGACTGAAGATTTGAAGGTCGCGTGTTCGATCCACGCTCACCGCACGTTTAGTTTACCTATGCCTCATCAGCATTTTGTAGAGCTTTTGCACCACTCACCTCCCCCTGAATGAGCTTTGGAATTGGAACCACCCTGCTCTTTGTCTTCCTTGCCCCCCTCACTCTGATTTCCTTGTACTTGCTTGGCCCACGCTCTCACCGCAGGTGTACCCCCCCGCATGTGAGAAGCTCAAATCCGCGGGTGGTGCTGCTGCTGCCTCCGCAGGCGATGCTGCTAAGGGTAACACACAGCCTCTTTGCTGCTCTTCACACGTAGCATGCCATCCCCTCACGCGCTGCTTTCTCAGCCTCTTCTTTCTCAATTCTCTTCACCTCATTGCTTACAGTCCGTTTTCATTTTTCATTTGGGCCTTCCCCACCCCACTCATCCCTCTCCTCCCTCATCCTTCTCCTCCATGCCTCCCCTCATGCGTCTCTCCGTGTCTCTCAGGAGCCGTGGTGCTGGTGCTGATGGTGACCACGGCAAAGCAGGCCGAGGGGGCTTTGTTTGGTGATCAAGGGGCACTGGAGTGTGAGTATTCGGGATGACTGTGGGTTGAGAGTGGTAGAGAGGGGAAGAGAGATGTAGAGAGGGGCAGAGAGGGGAAGAGAGGGGCAGAGAGGGGAAGAGAGGGGCAGAGAGGGGAAGAGAGGGGCAGAGAGGGGAAGAGAGGGGCAGAGAGGGGAAGAGAGGGGCAGAGAGGGGAAGAGAGGGGCAGAGGGTGCATGAAGGAGCAGAGAAAGTGGCGGGGCACAGCATTTGCGTGTCTGTAGAGCTCTTGCTTTCGTTTCCTTCTCAATCACCCCATTTCCGTGCCACATCTCCTTTCCGTCACCCGCTCCTGCCGTCGTGCCCTCTTCTCCTCCCCCCTGCAGCTCTCCCTCCTGGTGCTGTTGTCATTCTCTGCTCCACTGTCCCACCTGAATTTGCACGCAGCCTCGGCACCAAGCTCTCAGGTATAGTGTATTAAAATTAGTTTCTAAAACAAACTCTACACTTCCTCCTTTGAGTGAATACTTGGGTGTTTCCCAGATCATCAGAACCTGACGCCATCTGCACTCTGTTTCAGCATTGGTCTCTATACCAGTATCTCCACATCCCTTCTCGTCAATTCTTCCTTCCCGTCTGAGTCATTCTGTACCTCGTCCTGCCTTCACCTTTTTTGTCACTTTTGCGTCTCTTTGCGTTGCCTTTCCCTGCAACCTTTCTCTCACTTTCTGTTTGATTGTTTTCTAAGTACCTTTCCCTCCCCTGTTGCTCTGTTTAGCATTCTCAAACCATCCATTCTGTCCCCTGCTGTTCCTCTGTGCGTGCAGCACAGGGCAAGGGGTGGGAGATGGTGGATGCACCGGTGTCAGGAGGAGTGGCACGTGCTGCAGACGGTACCCTCACTGTGAGCTGTCGTAGTGTTGGTGTTATTACTGGCCGGCACCCCTTCCTTGCTCCAGGCACTTCCCTCCTGCTTTGTGACGTCTCAAATCCTACCTGCCCTTCTCACACTTCATCTCCCGTAACCCCTCTCTCTGTCCTCTTGTTCCTCACACACATGGCAGATCATGGCAGCTGCTACACCCGCTGCTCTTTCCAAGGCACAGCCAGTGCTGGAAGGTACGCTTGGCAGGGCAGTGCATGGGTGGGGGGCAGTGCACGGGTGGGGGGGTGGGTGAGTGTTCGCCTTCTTACAAGCTCTGCTAGGGCTCCGATTCTGATGCTGCAATGCACCTGCCTCTGTCCTCCATCACCCCCCCCCTAGCCCCCTCGCCTTGCGTTTCCCTCCTTCCCAAGATCCTATTCTAACATCCCCTCACCATCCCCTCTCTTCCCCCCCTCCCCCCCCTCCCCCCTCTCCCCTTTTTCCAACCCCCTCTCTCCCTGCGGCAGCCATGAGTGCAAAGCTGTACATAGTGGGTGATACCCCGGGCGCAGGCAGGTGTGTGGGTGGGGGAACGGGGGTAGGTGGCAGTGGGGGAGGGGGGGCAGGGGGGCAAGGAGGCAAGGGAGGCAACGAGGGCAAGTGGGCAAAGGGGGCAAGGGGGCCATGAGTGCAAAGCTGTACATTGTGGGTGACACACCGGGCACAGGCAGGTGCGTGAGTGGGGGGCAGGGGGGTAGGATGCGGGTGAGTTAGATGTGTATTTTGAGCTTTCTCAAAAACACCCCGCAGAAGGACCAAGGCGCGCACGTGGACCAAGGCGCGCGCGCGGACCAAATCGCGCGCCTCACTCGTTGTGCCTTCTCTCTTCTCTCGCGTTTCTCACGCTTCTCCCACGTTGCCCTCTCCTTCTGCCCTCCTCCATCCCCCCCTCAGCGCGGTGAAGATGGTGAATCAGCTGCTGGCAGGGGTGCACATCGCGGCAGCAGCGGAGGCCATGGCACTGGGGGCCAGGGCAGGGCTGAACGCGCGCATGGTGTTCGATATCATCTCACATGCCGCTGGCAACTCCTGGTGGGTTGATTGAGGCGTGCCCTTTATTGTGTCTTGCTACTGGGTGAGGGCACATAGCAGCGGAGGTGATGGCAGTGGGGGCAAGGGCGGGGCTGAATGCGCACATGGTGTTTGTCATCATCTCACACGCTGCTGGCAACTCCTGGTGAGTCCAGCTGCTGTGTTGTGAGGGCCCTGTGCTGTAATGGGCTCCTCATAGCGGCAGCAGCAGCAGCAGCGGAGGCGATGGCACTGGGGGCGAGGGCGGGGCTTAACGCGCGCATGGGGTGTTTGTCATCATCTCACACGCTGCTGGCAACTCCTGGTGAGTCCAGCTGCTGTGATGTGCCCAGTGCTGTGATGTGCCCAGTGCTGTGATGTGCCCAGTGCAGTGAGCAATCTTAGGACCACATGCAGCCATGCTCATGCCCATCCCCATCCCCATCCCCCACACCTATGGCAGAATGTTTGAGAATCGAGTGCCACACATGCTGGACAATGACTCCTGAGTCGACTCATAAATCATTACCATCCCTCCGCCCATCCTCACGCCCTTCCCGATTGCCATACCCACACCTATGTCAGGATGTTTGAGAACAGAGTGCCGCACATGCTGGACAACAACTATTGATTCGACTCAAAAGTACTTTCTTTTCCTTGCCCATCCTCACGCCCATCGTGATTGCCACCCCCACCCACATCTCAGGATGTTTGAGAACAGAGTGCCACACATGCTGGACAGCGACTACACGCCCCGCTCCGCGCTCAACATCTTTGTCAAGGACCTGGTATGCCGTGTTGTGCTGAGGCGCTGTACTGAGGCAGTGTCTGTATCTCCTGTCAGACAGGGGATCCTGTGGTATGGAAGTTCACTTTTGAGGCATCTCAAAAGTCGTCAAGGACCTCGTACGCCCTGCTGTGCCAGCACTCGCTGTCTCACTCCGTGACCTGGTCTCACTCCATGGCCTGGTCTCCAGCACAGTGCACAAGTGACTGCCTCAGTAAGGCAGTCCAGCAGCCTTTTGTTCGTCTTGTTGTATTGAGGCAGCCTCACCATCTAAAGTTGCTCCTGCATGGTGTTGCACAGCGCAGTGGAGTGCGGTGCGGTTGGGTTCACTGCAGTGAGCAGCGTATGAGGCACTGGTTGAGAAGCACACCTCACTTCACAGCATGCCCATTCACTTCACTCTTGCTCCCTCCTCCCACTTCCCTCTCCGTTTACTCCCTTCAGGGCATTGTGTTGGGCGAGGCACAGTCGCTCGCGTTCCCTCTGCCCCTGGCAGCAGCAGCACACCAGCAGTTCCTGGCTGGTGCAGCAGCAGGGCTGGGCAGGGAGGATGATGCTGCCGTGGTCAAGGTGAGTGCAGGGGGGTGGTGCGGGTGGGGGTAGAGGTTTGTGTAACTCGGCAGGGCATGAGGTGCAGCAGCAGGGCTGGGCAGGGAGGACGATGCTGCCGTGGTCAAGGTGAGTGGGGGGTTGCAGGTGGAAGTTAGGGGGTTGAGAGCGGGGAGTTTGAGGGTTTGGAGCGTGGGGTGAGGATTTGTGTACCTTGGCACGGAATGAGGTGCAGCAGCAGGGCTAGGCAGGGAGGGCGAAGCCACCGGGGTCAAGGTGAGTGGATGGGGTTGAGGGGGGAAGAGGGCGGGAGGCTTGGATTTAGGTTTCAGTGGGAAGGCACATGTTTCATGCTCTGCACTGCAGGTGTCATGTCATGTCATATCACACTGCATGGAAGCAGCTGCTGCATGCATCAACTCGTTGAATCTTCCTTCGTTTCTGTCATTGTCAAAAGCTTTCTCCTTTTCCCCTGGTCCCTACACCCCGATACTCTCGTACCAATTTCCACCCATCCCCATCCATCCTCACCCATTCCCATTACCGTCCGCCCATCTCACCCCCTCTAGGTCTATGAGCGCCTGGCAGGAGTAACAGTCGCTTCCGCCCTCCCTGGCAGGGGGGAGGGCAGGGGGGGAGGGCAAGGGGGGAGGGCAAGGGGGGAGGGCAAGGGGGGAGGGCAGGGGGGAGGGCAAGGGGGGAGGGCAAGGGGGGAGGGCAGGGGGGAGGGCAAGGGGGGAGGGCAAGGGGGGAGGGCAAGGGGGGAGGGCAAGGGGGGAGGGCAAGGGGGGAGGGCAAGGGGGGAGGGCAAGGGGGGAGGGCAGGGGGGAGGGCAAGGGGGGAGGGCAAGGGGGGAGGGCAAGGGGGGAGGGCAAGGGGGGAGGGCAGGGGGGGAGGGCAAGGGGGGGAGGGCAAGGGGGGAGGGCAAGGGGGGAGGGCAAGGGGGGAGGGCAGGGGGGAGGGCAGGGGGGGAGGGCAGGGGGGGAGGGCAAGGGGGGAGGGCAAGGGGGGAGGGCAAGGGGGGAGGGCAGGGGGGGGCAAGGGGGGAGGGCAGGGGGGAGGGCAAGGGGGGAGGGCAAGGGGGGAGGGCAAGGGGGGAGGGCAAGGGGGGAGGGCAAGGGGGGAGGGCAAGGGGGAGGGCAAGGGGGGAGGGCAAGGGGGAGGGCAAGGGGGGAGGGCAAGGGGGGAGGGCAAGGGGGGAGGGCAAGGGGGGAGGGCAGGGGGGAGGGCAAGGGGGGAGGGCAAGGGGGGAGGGCAAGGGGGAGGGCAAGGGGGGAGGGCAAGGGGGGAGGGCAAGGGGGGAGGGCAAGGGGGGGAGGGCAGGGGGGAGGGCAGGGGGGGAGGGCAGGGGGGGAGGGCAAGGGGGGAGGGCAAGGGGGGAGGGCAAGGGGGGAGGGCAAGGGGGGAGGGCAGGGGGGAGGGCAGGGGGGGAGGGCAAGGGGGAGGCAGGGGGAGGGCAAGGGGGGAGGGCAAGGGGGGAGGGCAAGGGGGGAGGGCAAGGGGGGAGGGCAAGGGGGGGAGGGCAAGGGGGGAGGGCAAGGGGGGAGGGCAAGGGGGGAGGGCAGGGGGGAGGGGCCAAGGGGGGAGGGCAAGGGGGGAGGGCAAGGGGGGAGGGCAGGGGGGAGGGCAAGGGGGGGAGGGGCAGGGGGGAGGGCAAGGGGGGAGGGCAAGGGGGGAGGGCAAGGGGGGAGGGCAGGGGGGAGGGCAGGGGGGGAGGGCAGGGGGGAGGGCAAGGGGGGAGGGCAAGGGGGGAGGGCAAGGGGGGAGGGCAAGGGGGGAGGGCAAGGGGGGAGGGCAAGGGGGGAGGGCAAGGGGGGAGGGCAAGGGGGGGAGGGCAAGGGGGGAGGGCAAGGGGGGAGGGCAAGGGGGGAGGGCAAGGGGGGAGGGCAAGGGGGGAGGGCAAGGGGGGAGGGCAAGGGGGGAGGGCAAGGGGGGAGGGCAAGGGGGGAGGGCAAGGGGGGGGGAGGGCAAGGGGGGAGGGCAAGGGGGGAGGGCAAGGGGGAGGGCAAGGGGGGAGGGCAAGGGGGGAGGGCAAGGGGGGAGGGCAAGGGGGGAGGGCAGGGGGGGAGGGCAGGGGGGAGGGCAAGGGGGGAGGGCAAGGGGGGAGGGCAAGGGGGGAGGGCAAGGGGGGAGGGCAGGGGGGAGGGCAGGGGGGAGGGCAGGGGGGGAGGGCAAGGGGGAGGGCAAGGGGGGAGGGCAAGGGGGGAGGGCAAGGGGGGAGGGCAAGGGGGGAGGGCAAGGGGGGAGGGCAAGGGGGGAGGGCAAGGGGGGAGGGCAAGGGGGGAGGGCAAGGGGGGAGGGCAAGGGGGAGGGAAGGGGGGAGGGAAGGGGGGGAGGGCAGGGGGGGAGGGCAAGGGGGGAGGGCAAGGGGGAGGGCAAGGGGGGAGGGCAAGGGGGTGAGGGCAGGGGGGAGGGCAGGGGGGGAGGGCAAGGGGGGAGGGCAAGGGGGGAGGGCAAGGGGGGAGGGCAAGGGGGAGGGCAAGGGGGAGGGCAAGGGGGAGGGCAGGGGGAGGGCAGGGGGGAGGGCAGGGGGGGAGGGCAAGGGGGGAGGGCCAAGGGGGAGGCAAGGGGGAGGGCAAGGGGGGAGGGCAGGGGGGAGGGCAAGGGGGGAGGGCAAGGGGGAGGGCAAGGGGGGAGGGCAAGGGGGAGGGCAAGGGGGGAGGGCAAGGGGGGAGGGCAAGGGGGGAGGCAAGGGGGGAGGGCAAGGGGGGAGGGCAAGGGGGGAGGGCAAGGGGGTGAGGGCAGGGGGGAGGGCAGGGGGGAGGGCAGGGGGGGAGGGGCAAGGGGGGAGGGCAAGGGGGGAGGGCAAGGGGGAGGGCAAGGGGGGAGGGCAAGGGGGAGGGGCAAGGGGGGAGGGCAAGGGGGGAGGGCAAGGGGGAGGGCAAGGGGGAGGGCAAGGGGGGGAGGGCAAGGGGGGAGGGCAAGGGGGGAGGGCAAGGGGGGAGGGCAAGGGGGCGGTGCTGCCAGTGGTGGTGGTTCTGGATGATGATCCCACGGGCACTCAAACTGTGCATGGCCTGCACGTGCTCACCACGTGGTATGTGTGTGGTAACCACGTGGTAGGGCAATAGGGAGGGGAGGGAGAGAGGGTGCTGCCAGTGGTGGTGGTTCTGGATGATGATCCCACAGGCACTCAAACCGTGCATGGCCTGCACGTGCTCACCACGTGGTATGTGTGTGGTAACCACGTGGTAGGGCAATAGGGAGGGGAGGGAGAGAGGGTGCTGCCAGTGGTGGTGGTTCTGGATGATGATCCCACAGGCACTCAAACCGTGCATGGCCTGCACGTGCTCACCACGTGGTATGTGTGTGGTATGTGTGTGGTATGTGTGTGGTATGGAAACCACGTGGTAGGGCGTGGTAGCCATGTGGTCTGGTGGGAGGTAACAATGTGGTGAATGGTAACAATGTGGTGAATGGTAACAATGTGGTGAATGGTAACAATGTGGTGAATGGTAACATTCCTCTCGTCTCTCCCTGATTCCTTCTCCAGGGACGTGCAAGCACTCAAGGTGGAAATGGTATTGCTGGCGCACACCCCCAATGCCGCCAGTGCCGCCTGCCATGTGGACGTAGGCACATACCTAGGCAAACTGGCACATACCCTCATGTGGGCCCCCCAGTCAAACTGGCACATACCCTCATGTGGCACATACCCTCATGTGGCACATACCCTCATGTGGCACATACCCTCATGTGGGCCCCCCAGTCAAATCTTCATCTTCTCCCGTCACTCACTCCTCCCTCTCCCCTCTCTCCCCAGGGACGTGCAAACACTCCAGGCGGAGATGGCAGCACTGGCGCACACCCCCAATGCCGCCTTCTTCATTCTCACCAACTCCCGCGCGCTGCCCACGCAGCAGGTGGGTGGGGCATGGCATGGCATGGCGTGGCATGGCATCACGTGACATGACATGGCGTGGCGCCACATGGCATGACATGGCGTCGCATGGCATCTGTCCCTGTCCTCATTACCACCACCTCCATTCTCCTGCTCCATCCTTCCCCATGCTGCTGCTTCCCTGCCGTTGCAAACTGCCTCTTTCACGTTCCTCTCTCCCTCTCTCAACCATTGTTCCTTCTCCGTCCTCCCCTCCCTCCATCACACTACCATCGTCCCTCGCCAGGGCAGGCAGCAGCTCTCACACGCACCATCTGCAGCAATGTCGTGACAGCAGCCCTTGCACCTCCCTTCACCGCCTCTCACTCTTCCCCCTCCCCTCCCCTCCCCTCCCCTACGCCCCACTCGTCCCCCCACCCCACCCATGGCAGGCAGCAGCTCTCACACGCACCATCTGCAGCAACGTCGTGACAGCAGCCCAGCAGGCAGGGATTCTCAGGTAAGCAGCGGTGGAGATGGGTGGAGAAGACAGTGAAAAAACTGGTTGCTCTTGCAGTGGGTGTAGTGGTGAGCAGAAGCAGTGGCTTGTCTGTTTTAATATCTGCTCAGTAGTGCAGCAACCCACCAGGTAGCAAGACCTCCTCTCTGTCACTCTGTGCCCGTGGTGTGCCTCGTGTGTGTGTAGCAGCAGTGGTAGCAAGGACCCGGGCTGTAGAGGCATCACACTCATTCTCCGAGGGGACTCCACCCTGCGAGGCCACTTCCCCCAGGTATAACACCCGCCCGTGTGTACTGTTGAAATCACTTTTGAGAATCTCATACTCCTGTTGAATTTCACAAGTGATTTCTCACAAGCAAGGCCACTTCCCCCAGGTTCCCCATTGTTCTCTGCTTGCTTCCATTGCTTCCTCTCCCGCCATTCTTCCCATGCGATTCTCCTCGCTCCTGCCTGCACTATGTGGCTGATGGGGCCGACAGGTGGGGAAGCGGAGGGTTGTTCATTCGCTCGTTGTCCAATGCCCCCCCCCTTCTCCCTTCCTAGGAGGTAGAGGCAGCGGAGGCAGCGTTGGGAGCAGCAGTGGATGCGTGGGTTGTGTGTCCTTTCTTCCTGGAGGGAGGGCGCTACACCATCAATGACACACACTATGTGGCCGATGGGGCCGACAGGTGGGGGGTTTCATTCACATGGAGTGTTTACCTGTATGTATTGAGTGTGAGCATACAGCGTACATGGGATGGCAGATGGGATTGACCGGTAAGGCATGTGAGACTTCGTAGTGCAGAAAGGTAGTTTCGACCTGGATCCAACAGTCCTAACTCGTCCTAATCTCCTCTAGAGTAGTTTGCACTACCTGACATGACTTGACGACACTCACACACACACACTCACTTCCTCTCCACACCCACCATTCGTCCACCGCCCCTCCACTCCAGGCTGGTGCCGGCTGCACAGACGGAGTTTGCCAAAGATGCTGCCTTCGGGTATTCACACTCCAACCTCAAACAGGTGTGCACCTGTGCTTCGCGGTGCTGTGCGGTACTGTGCTGTGCAATACTGTGCTGTGCTGTGTGGGCGGGAGGGATATACACATGTAGATGTTGGTTGCTGGATTTGATGCGTCCAAATGCATCCGTGCCTTGACATGCACCAATCTCCTCTTTTGTATGCCTCTCTCTGAATTGATGTGCTCAGTGGGTGGAGGAGAAGACAGGAGGTGCCAGGTCAGCAGCTGACGTGACATCCATCTCCATCTCGACCATCAGGGAGGGCGGCCCCTCTGCCGTCCTTAAAGCCCTCATGGCGCTGCCCAAGGTGCGTCCTGCTGTTCCCTGCTGCTTCTCCCATGTCCTCATATGCTCCCCCCATGCTGCCTTGTGAATGATGTGCTGTACGGTTCCTATGCTCCCCCAAGGGCCCTCATGGTACCCGCCGCTGCTCATCCCTTCCGCTCTCTGCTGCATCGAGATGTGCGGAACCGGGTTTGCTGGGGCATCTATCCTTGCTGCGCTCTACTAGCTTGGCCCTGCATTCCTTTCTTCCTTGACTGTAAAACGTTCAATTCACTCCCTTACCCTCATGTGGCAACAGCAGCTCCCCACCGCGCAGAGGCAGCAGGGCGCTCCTTCCTCGTGCGCTCTGCCGCCTTCTTCGTCTGCTCCCTCCTCTACACACCTTGAATTCCGCCCCCCCCCTGCCCTTTCACTTGGCTCCCACAGGGCAGTGTGTGCATCTTGAACGCAGCGAGTGACAGCGACTTGCACGTGGCAACAGCAGCCCTAAGATACGCAGAGGCAGCTGGCCGCTCCTTCCTCGTGCGCTCTGCCGCTTCCTTCATCTCCTCCCTCCTCTCCCTCCCCAAACTGCACCCGCTTGGTCCCCCTGAGTGGGCGCAGCTGCTGCTGGGGGGAGGGGCGGGGGGGGATTGTGAGGAAGAGGGGGAGGGGGAGTGGGGGCGGAAGTTGAAGCGGTGGGGATGGTTGCGGAGCAGTACCGGGGGATTGGTTGTGGTGGGGTCGTATGTGCCGAAAACAAGTGCTCAGGTAAGTGGGAGAGGGTGGGGTTGAGGAATGAGGGAAAGGGGGAGGGAGAGGAGGTGAGGAGGGAAAGCAGGCGGAGAGGGGAGGAGGAAATGGCGGAAAATGAAGAATATGGCAAGGATGGGGACAAGAGTTTGGTGTGAATAAGATCTTAGCAGGGTGGTGACGCAGGAACCGAGTGCAGCAGTGCACCGGCCTTTCAGCATAAAGCATTCTTGACTTCCCTGCTCAACACTCCCTTCCTACCTCCCTGTCATTGCCATCCCATCCCTGCCTCTCTCATGGCATCAGCTAGAGGAGCTGCTGTCCTGCCTGGGCTCGTCCTTACACGTGATTCAGGCAAGCTGGAAGGCGGGCATGTATGCATGGCTATGTGATTGCACGGCAGATGCATGGCAGATTGCAGAGAGGAGGTTGATACATGGCATTCTAGTCAGCGCTAATCCATCTCGCAATGAATGACAGTTTTTTCACACCCGTCGTAAGACCATACCAATTGCAAGCATCCTCATTTGTCCAATTGTGCCCTTCCTTCCCTTCCCTCACGTCTTTGCACATCATCGGACAGGTCAACGCTGCTGACGTGGCATCTGACAGCTGGCAGGGGGAGAGGAGGGAAGTGGCGGTGGCAGGGATGGCGGAGGAGGCGGAAAGAGCACTGCAGAAGGGCCGGGATGTTGTCATCATGACGTCTCGAGAGCTGATCACGGGCTCAGGTGGGTGCTATCTGGGGGGAGGGGGCAAGTGGCGGTGGCGGAGATGGCAGGGGAGGCGGAGGGAGCACTGGGGGAGGGCAGAGACGTTGTCATCATGACGTCACGAGCAGCGTTAGCACCAGCGTTAGCAGCAGCGCCATCACCGGCAGCAGCACCAGTAGTAATACCAGCACTGCTGTTGCTGATAGTACTCCCCCAGCAGCACCAGCAAGCCCCCCCAGGACCTGCCCCTGCACCTGCCCCTGCCCCTTCCCCTGCCCCTGCCCCTGCCCCTGCCCCCCCTGCCCCTGTACCGGAAACGTCACAGGCACCACAGGCTGGGCCCCATCCAAGACCTTGAAGGTCATCTGATGGCCGCCTGGAATGCAGCTGTCTCGTTCTGGAATGCGGTGGGGAAGGGGAAGGGAGGATAATGAGGTTTAAGACCGTGACTGTTTTTTCAAAGCATGTGATCTCTTACGCAATGCATTGCTGGATGGGCGTTGTGTTTGTGGGCCTTGCTCTGTTTCTCATGAGAAAGCTGCCTAACAGCGTAACAGCTGGTGCTGCTCTTGCTGCTGCTGCTGCTGCTCTTGCTGCTGCTGCTGTCGCGAAAATCAGCTTTCTCATGAGAAACAGAGCAAGGCCCACAGACACAACACCCATCCAGCATTTCATTGTGTGAGAGATCACATGCTTTGAAAAAACAGTCACGGTCGTAAACCTCATTATCCTCCATACTCCTTCCCCCACCGCATTCCAGAACGAGACAGCTGCATTCGAGGCGGCCATCAGATGGCCTTCAAGGTCTTGGATGTGGCCCAGCCTGTGGTGCCTGTGACGTTTCCGGTACAGGGGCAGGGGGGGCAGGGGCAGGGGCAGGTGCAGGGGCAGGTCCTGGGGGGGCTTGCTGGTGCTGCTGGGGGAGTACTATCAACAACAGCAGTGTTGGTATTACTACTGGTGCTGCTGCCGGTGCTGGCGCTGCTGCTAGCGCTGGTGCTAACGCTGCTAACCCTCATAACTGTCCCCAGCATTTTGGAGATTGGGTGAGCGAACGGTGCAGTGCTCAAGTCTCATTCTGATAATCACCCTTGTACATTCTCCTCCTTCCATCCGACACCCCACTGTCCTCTTGATTGTGCCTGTTACTGCCAAACCTGGCCAGCAGTCTGGAGATTGGGTGGAGAGTGAGCGAGGCAGTGGTGGATTTTGATTCATATAATGAAATCACTCCTGCATCCCTTGCCCCTTCCATCCTTGCTCCCTCTCGTCCTCTTGACTGTCCCCATCGCCCCCATGATTATCCCATGGTTTCCACCAGACCCGGCCAGCAGTCTGGAGATCGGGTGGAGAGTGAGCGAGGCGGTGGTGGAAGTTGTGAGGGCGATCGGTGTGCGCCCCAAGTACATTCTCACTAAGGTGCGAGTGGGATGGGGCTGCAGAAGAAAGGAGACGAGCGGCATTGGGATGGCGGTGGTGGAATGGAGAGGAGAGGATCCATGTAGCATGGTGTGGCACGGCATGCGATGGGTGGCATGACATGACATGGCATGGCATGGCTTGGCATGGCATGGCATGGCATGGCATGGCATGGCATGGCATGGCATGGCATGCATCTATAAGCATGCATGGCAGGGTATACTCCATTGTCTTTGCCCTTAAATGCTTTTCATCAGCTTAATCCCGCTTCACGGCTCGTTCCCCCACGCCCTCCCCTCTCCACCCTCCCTCCCACCGCATGAGAGCAGAGCACATAACCGGACACTACATAAGAAAGGCACTGACTTTCCACACTCCCACCCCCTCTTGAGCCCCTCTCTCCCTCCTCCTCCCATTGCCATCAGGGTGGCATCACATCGTCCGACGTGGCAACCAAGGCGCTGGGAGTGGGGAGGGCGAGGGTGGAGGGGCAGGCCATGGCAGGCGTGCCGCTGTGGCGCCTCGATGATGCCTCCGGGTTCCCCGACCTACCCTACATCGTCTTTCCAGGTGAGGTCCTCCTTTCAGTCTTTCCCGTAAACTCACTTCTGAGAGTTCTCAAAATCAACTCCAAGAGAGGGTGGAAGGGCAGGCCATGGCAGGCGTGCCGCTGTGGCGCCTCGATGCCCATTCCAGGTTCCCTGACCTGCCCTACATCGTCTTTCCAGGTACTTTCTACCTCTCGTGTGTCCTTTTATGTATCCCAATTTCTACCTTCCAGTTTCGGCCTTTCAATCTCAGTGTGTGTCTTTTCTGTCTTCCCTGGCCTCGCAGCATCTATCTGGGTAGGCCGAGTCAAGTGTTGCCAAGTGTTGCCAAGTGTTGCCAAGTGTTGCCAAGTGTTGCCAGAGGAGCAGCAGTGCCCCTTTTCAATCTCATCCTCCGCTTCCTCTCATCTCATCACTTTTCTCGCTCACCCTTGCCCTCTCCTCCCCCTACTCCTCCTCTTCCGCCCCCCCACTGCTGCTCCTCCTCCTCCCTCCCATCCATCTACCCCTCACCACCACTCACCAGGCAATGTCGGATCATCCTCATCTCTCGCAGATGTGGTGCAGCGCTGGCGCCAGCCGATCACCCCGCCTCTACTGACCACATTAGACCTAGTGCGCGCAGCAGCAGAGGGCGGGTATGCAGTGGGGGCGTTCAACGTGTATAACCTCGAGGGGGTGCGGGCCGTGGTGCGGGGAGCAGAGGAGGAGAGAAGCCCAGCTATTATTCAGGTACGCAATATGCGACATTGTGGTAGGAGGGGGTGAATGCAGTGGTGCGGGGAGCAGAGAAGGGGAGCCACTCTTGGCAGCGAGAAGGGCGGCTGGGGTTGTGAGAAATCATGGTGACCTCTCTCCCCTCTCCCTCCATTCATCTCTGAATCCCCCCTCTCTGTCTCCCTCTCCCCTTCCCCCTCCCCAGCTGCATCCCTCGGCCATCCATCACGGGGGAGAGCCCCTCATGGCAGCGAGCCGAGCAGATGTGGCAATTGTTTCTTTCTCCATTGCCACTCATGGTGCTAGTTGCCACTCATGGTGCTAGTTGCCACTCATGGTGCTAGTTGCCACTCATGAGTGACAACGAGATGTGGCAATTGTTTCTTTCTCCATTCCCCTCTCTCTTCCCTCTCCTCTCCCCAGCTGCATCCCTCAGCCATCCGACACGGGGGGGAGCCCCTCATGGCAGCAAGCCGAGCAGCAGCCATGGCTGCACGTGTGCCCATCGCCTTGCACCTCGACCATGCCACGGACGTGGGCCTTATTCAGCGATGTGTGGAGCAGGTGCGTGTGCCCATAGTGCTGTGTGGAGGTGCGTGTGCCCATAGTGCTGTGTGGAGGTGCGTGTGCCCATAGTGCTGTGTGGAGGTGCGTGTGCCCATAGTGCTGTGTGGAGGTGCGTGTGCCCATAGTGCTGTGTGCCCATAGGGGAGGTGCCGGTCCGTACCCCACACGCACGTGAGTGCAGGGGAGGTGCCGGTCCATCATGGCAGACGGCTCTCACCTGCCCCTACCCCATTCCCACACACCATTCCCATGACCCGGACTCTATCCGCCCCCATACCCCACCCCACATGCACGTGAGAGCAGGGGTGGTGCCAGTTCATCATGGCAGACGGCTCTCACCTGTCCCACCATTCCCATGCCCCTTCCCCTCCCCCCCCACATACATGAGTGCAGGGGTGGTGCCAGTCCATCATGGCGGACGGCTCTTATCTACCCCTTGCGGACAACATCGCCTTCACGCAACGCGTTGTGGCTGCCCTCGCTGCCCTCATCACTCCAGCAGCAGCGGATGCACCAGGGGCGGCGAGAATAGCACGCGGTGGGGGAGGGGCAGTGGTGGTGGAGGCGGAGGTGGGGCGGATAGCGGGGGTGGAGGATGGGGAGACGGTTGAGGAGATTGCTGGCAGGCTCACCCAGGTTGAACAGGTAAGATGCCCTGTAAGAGTGGCACACGGTGGGGGAGGGGCGGTGGTGGTGGAGGCGGAGGTGGGGCGGATAGCGGGGGTGGAGGATGGGGAGACGGTTGAGGAGATTGCTGGCAGGCTCACCCAGGTTGAACAGGTAAGATGCCCTGTAAGAGTGGCACACGGTGGGGGAGGGGCGGTGGTGGTGGAGGCGGAGGTGGGGCGGATAGCGGGGGTGGAGGATGGGGAGACGGTTGAGGAGATTGCTGGCAGGCTCACCCAGGTTGAACAGGTAAGATGCCCTGTAAGAGTGGCACACGGTGGGGGAGGGGCGGTGGTGGTGGAGGCGGAGGTGGGGCGGATAGCGGGGGTGGAGGATGGGGAGACGGTTGAGGAGATTGCTGGCAGGCTCACCCAGGTTGAACAGGTAAGATGCCCTGTAAGAGTGGCACACGGTGGGGGAGGGGCGGTGGTGGTGGAGGCGGAGGTGGGGCGGATAGCGGGGGTGGAGGATGGGGAGACGGTTGAGGAGATTGCAGGGCGACTTACACAGGTTGAGCAGGTGAGGTGCGGTGGGAGCAGGTAAGTCGCAGTGGGAGCAGGTGAGGGGGGGTGGGAGCAGGTGGGTGGGGGTGGGAACGAGACAAAGGAGAGGAGGGATGTGAAGAAGCCCGTGCCAATTCGTATCCTCTGCTCACCCGTCCTCCTTCCATCCCCAGCCCCATTCTCCCTCTTTCCATCCCCAGCCCCATTCTCCCTCTTTCCGTCCCCAGACCCATTCTCCCTCTTTCCATCCCCAGCCCCATTCTCCCTCTTTCCTTCCACACTCAACCCGGATCTTCCCGTTCCTCCCTCCCTTGCCCATGCAGGCCGAGACCTTCCTTGAAAGCGTTCCCCAGGTGTCTCTCCTCGCAGTATGTGTGGGCAACCGGCACGGCCCCTACCCACCCTCCCTCCTCTCCACCCCCGCCTCCATCCTCAACTTCCCTCTCCTCCGCTCCCTCGCTGCCACCGCCTCAAACCACCACGCCCACCTGGTGCTGCACGGCGCCTCGGGATTGCCGCCCGAGATTGTACAGGAGTGCGTACAGTGCGGCGTGCGCAAGTTCAATGTTAATACCGAGTTGAGGGCTGCTTATATGGAGGCACTGGGGGGGGCTGGGGGAGGGGGAGGAGGAGGGAGGGATTTGGTGGATGTGATGGGAGAGGCGGAGAGGAGGATGATAGATGTGGTGAGGGGGAAGCTAAGGTTGTTCGGTTCGGCTGGTTGCGTGTGAGCTTGCATGTGTGTGGAAGAGGGGAGAGGGGTGTGGGAGAGGAGGGAGGGATTGAGTGGATGTGATGGGAGAGGCTGAGAGGATGGTGAGTGTGGTGAGGGGGAAGGTGAGGCTGTTTGGGTCGGCTGGTCGCATGTGAGCTTGCATGTGTGGGAGAAGGGAGTGTGGGAGAGGGGAGTGTGGGAGAAGGGAGTTTAAGAGAGGGAGGTTGGGGGTAAGGGAGAAGGGATGACCGGTCGATTGACATTGAAATAGATGGATTAAAGAGGGGTGGAAGCAGATGGGTTGTGGAATTTATTGGTTGTTTGTTTTGCACAGTTCATGCTATTGAATTGCATCAGTCAGTGTGAAAAGCTGAAACTTTAAACTTGGGAAACCACTTCCCTATCCCATGCATGCCCGCCTCACTCCCTCCCCCTTCATCATTGCCACGACGCCAGGCCCTCAGATTCGTTAGCCTTGGGTACATTCTTGTCGCGTGTCAGATATCATGTCATCAGCCCTTGGTCTCCAATTGGTCCCTTCCTAACCTCCACTTCATGGCTGACCTGATGTCTGACACAGGGTACGAATGCACCCTCATGCGGCACCAAAATTGTACATTATTTCCACTCACCAAGTGTACAACAACACTATCACAACAATTTCAACAACCAGTATCATACAAACCAAGACACTAGTATATGTGGGAGTGCTTCAGAATGGGTCCCACACACTGCCCATCCCCACCATCCCAGTGCTCTTGCAGGTGATCCCATTGCCAAGTGTCACTTCATCAAGGCCTGCAGCACGCGATCAATGATGTGTGTCGTCTCGTTGCCATGCTAGAAGCCCACTCTATCACAACTCGGAAGAAAGTATCACTTTCCATCCAGTATCCTCCTCCCATCACCACGGCGACACCATCTGGTACTGAGTCTCATTTTAAAGAGGCCTGCAGCGCACGGTCAATGATGTGAGTCGTCGCCATATTAACCACTAACTGGAAAGCGGGCGGCTCTGGGTGGTTGTAGTTCATCAGATAAAAGTTTTCGTCCACTCTCCTCGGCCCAACCGTCCATCTTGGACAGCTCTTGAAATTTGGAAGAGTTTTAAGCAGCGAGGACCGCTTGTACACTCCAAAGTCGTTCTGCGCGTAATCGAAAAACGCTGCAGAGGGGATATCCGTGAGGTTCACCATCTGGTGCTTGTTGAACGTACCCTCTTCCACCGTCGGCAGCGTCTCGCAATACTTATACCCCATATCACGCGTCCCATTGGTAACTATAAGCCGAACAAAATTATCCGTCGGAAGGCCGCTGCAATACCCGGTCTCCTTCCCTGAAAGCGTGCCTTTGCGGCCGATATTACACAGCTGGCCTCGAATGCTCCTGTCCTGGCACACGCTGTCCCACCAGGGCCACTGGGAGCGAAACAGTGGAGTGTCATAGTATTTCTTTCGCATGGCTTCCCAGTAGGTGCCTGGGCGTTTGGCACAGTTATTGACGGTGGGTGTGAAGCACGTGCACCACCCCGGCATGCCTGCCACGTCCTTGATGATTATGTTGTCTATGGAGTTCCTGTGAGGGGTGAGGGGAGAGGGGAGGAGAGAGGGGTGCAGTGTGGTTGAGGTGACGGTGGGCGTGTGAAGCATGTGCAGCAACCAGGCATGCCTGCCCGAAACACCACTCCATTACCAATGCTGCTACTGTCAAAACCTCCCCACAGTTCTTCCTTTCCCCCACCCCTCCAACTCACCACTTGCCGTTGTTGACCTTAACACCATCATACGTGCCAACACACGCCCCGCCATTCACCGTCACGCCCGACGTCACATAGTCCAGGTAGTAACAATGGTCCCCATTGAACACATAATTGCACTCCGCCAGGTTCGCTGCATCGGGGAAAAATGGTAAGGGGGGAAGAGGCAGCGTAAGGCTGGGGTCTGAGCCAAGACCAGGTCTGCAGGATGCCTGAGGTGACATAGTCCAGGTAGTAGCAGTGGTCCCCGTTGAACACATGATTGCACTCCGCCAGGTTCGCTGCAGAAGGGTCAGGAGGGATGAGAGATTTTGAGGCGGTTGAGAGGGTTTGAGAGGGTGGAAGTGGGGTTGAGCCAGCAGCAAAATCATGATCCATCCCCCCCACGCACCTACCACCACCCCTACTGCCACCCACCAGGGCTGAACCAGTGCGTGCAGAAGTAGATCCCAGCGGCATCTTGATCCCCCGATCTATTCGTCCCAGCAGCCACGACAATGTTGTACGAGATGGTCGCCAGCACGCAGTCTGCCGCGTAGTGCACGTCCGCGCCGCACCGGATGCCCGCGAATATGAAGTCGTGCACGTAGTTGTTGCGCACTATCACGCCAATGGCGCCTTGATAGAGGACTATTGGGGTGTCCACGCCTGTTAGGGAGGGGAGGGAAGGGGGGACGAGGGAAAAGGCGAATATGAAGTCGTGCGCGTAGTTGCTGTGCACTATCATGCCTATGGCGCCTTGATAGAGGACTATTGGGGTGTCCACGCCTGGTAGAGGGGGCACAGCGGTAGTGAAACGGGTGAGAGGGAGTGTGGGCGGGCAGGGAGAGGCGAATATGAAGTCGTGCGCGTAGTCGTTGCGCACTGTCACGCCCATGGCGCCTTGATACAGCACAATCACACCTATGGCGCCCTGATAGGAGCACGATGGGGGTGCCCACACCTGGTAGGAGCACGATGGGGGTGCCCACACCTGGTAGGAGCACGATGGGGGTAACCACACCTGGTAGGAGCATACCGGGGTAGGGGATTGCAGGACTCACCATAGACCTCGTTATTGGTGATCGCGATATACGACTTCTCCAGCGTGGGCCCGTAGCCGCTCATGGCAACGCGAATCACGCCCGGCGATTTGTTGAACACGGGAACCCCCGTGACGCGCATGGAGTCGACTCGAGATGACATGCTTCGAAACAAGTCAATGCGCCCGAACACTGTTCCTTTGGCGATCTGAATTCCGTAACTCCTGTACACGTGTATTGTAGGGCAATTTACCCCGATGCCATTCTCGGGAACGCCGACGCATTCGGGAGACGAGGTGCGAACTCCGAGCGAAAAGCTCACTCCCAGTACAAGCACATTGCTGGTGTTCCATATCCGCAATACAGGCTGATCCGCTCCGAAATAAGAGATTCTGTAACCCGATCCGGTTATGTTGTTGGAACGCAGTACTGTGCACGAGTAGCGTTTGTCGAAAAGCAGACCCTTGTCGAGAACGAGGTTCTTATTCAACTCCAAGATGACGGTGCGCGCTGGCGGGTAGTTGAGGCGGCGCGCAATGTCGTCTACAGTAAAGACCTTGATATAGACTGCTCCCTCGTAGTCAGAGCAAAAGCCGGGAGTGAAAGTGTCCTCTGTAAGCGGGGGAAAATGAGGGGGGGGGGGGCGGGGAGGGGGGAAAAGGGGGAGGTAAAGAATGTGGGGCGGAGGGAAGGGATGGGGAAAGGTGAGAAGCGGGGGAGTGGCGGAGTGGCGGAGGGGAATGGGAGACAGAATGGGGCAGGGAGAGGGGAGGGCCAAGGAGAGTGGGCTGAAAAACTGAAGTCGCATGGGCAAGGCAGAGAGGGGCCAAGGAGATGAGGGGAGGAGGCGGTCGAGGAGGGGGAGGAACGTGGGCGGGAGGATGGTTAAGAGGAATTTAAGGGCGGAGGAGAGGGCATACAGTGCTGAGTAAGAGAAAGGGGGGACGGGGGGGGGGGGGGGGGGTTTGTTTGGGGAAGGAAGGGAGAATGGAGGGTAAGGTGAAGAGATAGCTATGCGAAGCAGACTCACGCGTTTTTCGTCTGGTTAGGTGATCGTTCAGATAGCTTGTTGCTGTGGCGATAGCAGATGCTGCCTCGCTGTAAGCTGATCCGAAATTGCCTGTACGATTGCTGTCTCGAACGGCTCTCATGCCGAAAGGGGACGAAGCCTTGGGATCGACGCCGTTTCCATTACTGTACATGCTCGCACTGTATCGAGACTGCTGCCCGTCTTGTATCGCGTCCAGAAACCGCCAGAAGAGGCCTCGATACTGGGTAATTGGCGGGAAGCCATCGGCCGGCCGCGGCACAAGGAAAAGGGTCACGACGGAGAGAAGCACGAAGCACCGCATTGCGCGCCGAGCCAAGTACGGTGCTAAAGATGTATGACGAGGAGCATCAAACGAGGATGGCGAGAGGAGGGTAACTCGGTCTGCGCGGCGAGAGCTCGCGAAGTTGTAAGCAGCAGGATAGCAATGAACGGCCACCAACTCGGGATGTTTCGCTAGTCTATCTGCGTGCCAGATGGGTACTGAGTCGCAGAGCGAGCGAGCGACACGTCTGACGACAGACGAGCTCGTCTGGGCGTATGCTTGTGAGACCACGGAGTTAAGACTCGGCTGGAATCCTAAGTCGCCTTGGCTGAAATTAGGTGATGACAATGACGATGCCGATTCGCCTCTGTTCCGTTTTCTGCGTAATGGCATGAAGGCGAGGAAGGGAGGGGAGGTGCTGGTTGTGGTGTTTGGGAATGTTGCTGTGCCGCCGACACGAGTTGAGTCGAGTTGGTGGGTTCTTTTGGTGGTTCTCTGCTGTCTACCATGTCAAATGGGAGTGCCATGCCATGGTGCAACGGCGTGCCTTATTCCCCATGTTTAGGTTCTGGAGGTTCGCCACATCCAGTAACCAGGTTTACCCATAGCATCACATGTCGCAAATCTGTTGATTGGTAGGCTCTGACAGTCTTTCTGCGAAAGAGTTCGCGATGGAATCGCCATGCATGTTGGTTACACCTGGAAACCATCATGTGCAACTGCAGGTGACGGCGTTGAGAGTGAAAAGCTCCAGTCCAGGCTCATCACCTGCGGCCCGCAACTCTCAGGTGCTTATCAAGATCTTAAGCAGGAGAGGACTCAACCACGTCAAATATATCTCATCCTCGCTATGATGCAATCCAGCACCAGCCAAGAGAAACTACTCACAGTTTATATATATCCTGAAGCCACACCCTAATTGAATGCGTAAGTTAATAGTGTAACCCCAATATAGGTTTTGCCAAACATTGTACAGTATTTGTCTCACGTCGCATCGCCCGACAATTTCAAGGTCGATTTTGCCTCCTTTTTTCCCGCCTCTTATGGGAAGGGAATTCCTTCAGTTCTGTTGCCTGGTAAAAAGACCACCTCTCACTACGCAGTTTTCGAAATATGTCCTACTGCTTGCGTCAGGATATGACCAAAACCGTCATGGTCGTAGCTCAAGCGACGAATATGACGTGCGAAATTATCTTGGACCATATGGTGGCTATTGTAGAGCATATGTGATAGTTTTGTTGCTTTTATAATCGGTTATTTCTGGAATGGATTGTTGATGGCCGTGCGTACCGAAGTGACGCATCGTACCAAGATAGTCGTAACAAGGACTAAGATAGTCTTCGATGCGTTTTGTTTGAATTGTTTGGAAATTTTTAGAGTAGCTGGGGTAAAACTACGGGAGCCATCGCCATAAAGTGCGGTCATTGAACCGCTAACACCTCTAGGTTTTTGAAGCGAGGTTACGACGAAAAGGAAATTCATTAAGAAGCAGGGACATGGGGAGACGCGAAGAGGAGAGGAGGCGGGGGAGCGGCAGGAAGCCGGGAGAATCGATAATGCCGCATTCGATGCAGAAGCTTCTTAAGAGGAACTATAAGGCGGTGTACGCCAGTGAGGTGAGCGTGACTATATCAGAGGCGAATGTGGACAAAGAGAGCGAGTGCCAAGTCAGGCGAGGTGACTGTGACTGTGTAGGCATTGCCTTATCCTCCCTTCTCTGCACGTCGCGCTGTACCACTTGACAAGGTTTTAACGGTTACCAAAACCCACCTCCTGTGTCTGGAATCCCTTCTTTGTCTCCCCCCTCTCTCCCCCGTCCCCCCTATAACACCTCCCCTCTCCTCCTTCCATGCCTGAGCCACCAGGTCCTGTCCCTACACTGCTCGTCGCGAGCTGTACGGCGAAGCGTCACTCTTCTCGCCTAAACTTCCTTTCCATGTTTTTCTTCCCCATCTGCCTCCACCCAGGACATCCTATCGCTGTACCACTCCTCCCTGCTGTACGGCCAGGTGCCTTTCACCAGTCGCATGCGAGCCATGGTTACCTCATTCTCTATTCTCCCCCCTTTTCCTCTCGCGTATCTCCACCCAGGACATCCTATCGCTGTACCACTCCTCCCTGCTGTACGGCGAAGTGCCTTTCACCAGTCGCCTGCGAGCCGTGCTCACCTCAGGGCCCGTCAGCCTCGTCGTCACTGCTGTCAGTCCTTTGCCGCCTATGCTCTGACCCTATAGCGGTTCCACACGGGATGCTGTGACTGTACCGAATCCTCATAAAGTGCTGTGGTCATCCCATGCCATCCCATCGTCCATAGCGTTTGCATGGCATCTCATGTTGATATGCTACGCCATCACTTCGTTTTTGTTGGGACGCATCCGTGCCTCGCTGCCGTTCTCTCGCACTTCGCGTCTCCCTCACTTGGCTTCTCCCGCGTCTCCCTCAATCTGCTTCTCCCGCGTCTCCCTCACTCCAGACCGAGTTCATAGCTTCGTGCGTGGGTGCAGTGTACTATATCATAGGGACCAGGTATGGTGCAGTGTACTATATCATAGGGACCATGTATGGCGCAATGTTCCATATCATAGTAGGCAGGCAAGCAGGGAGGCAGCAGGCAGGCAGAAGGCGGTGCGGACGTATGGGCCAATTGCCTTCACAGTCAACTCACAATCGGATCTCTGGATATCCTTTCCTTGCATGCTTCGCCACACCCTCACTCCCGTACCTGTCGCCCATACCTCCCTCCCATACCTCCCTCCCATACTTCCTACCCAACCTCACACCCATACCTCACGCCCATACCCACTCCTCCCATACCTACCATCCATGCCTCCAGGGAGACGGTGGCGCAGGTGGTGGCATGGAACGCAGGGCACCTGGCCGTCTCTGCCTTCTTCATCCTGCTCTTCCTCCTCCGCCTCTACAGGCAAGTTGCTTTCCTGTCCGCCTCTACAATCAAGTTGCTTTCCTGTCCGCCTCTACAGGCAAGTTGCTCTTCCTCCTTCCTTATTGTGCTGTCCTCCCATGTGCAGTGCGCCGGTTTGACCTTTGATACGTTTCAGACACACACACTCATCCGTCCGTATACTTCCTCCCACGTGCAGTGCCCCGGTACGGTGGCTGTATGTGTGCTCGTACCTGGGCGTTTTGGACATCTTATCTGGCATTCCCGTCCTTATCTCGCGATGACTCGCATGCCCCATTCACTCCCAACACCCATCCCCACTCCCCCATCCTTCCTCCCACATGCAGTGCGCCGGTACGGTGGCTGTATGTGTGCTCGTACCTGGGCGTTCTGGACATCCTATCTGGCATTCCTGTGCTCGGCCCACTGTGAGTCTTGTTCACATGACCTTTCTCCCCTCCCATTCTCTCCATCCTCTCCAATTCTTTCCATCTTCTCCCATTTCCTCCATCCTCTGTCTTCGACGCAATACCCACCACCCTCTGCCATCCTCTCCCTCTCATTCCCCTCTCGCACCCGCAGCCTCAGCGGCAGCAGGAGTGCAGGCGCCGTGTTCCAAGTCGTCTACTTCTTGCAAATCCTCAAGTGAGTCGCACCCTGTGTTTGATTTACCCTTCTTTGATGTGATCTCGTGGCATGTCAGGCCGTTAAGCAGCACTATGTGTGCATTAAGGTGAGTTTAGAGGCGCCTCAAAACTCACCTCCAACCATTTTTGGAAGCACTAAGTGTGCTTCCACTCAGCCGAGTTTGGAAGCTTTGCAGCTTGCTACAGTTGATTGTGCAGATTTTCTGCTCTCTTGATCCTTTTAGGTGCCTCAAAATTCGTGAGCACATGCATAGTATTTCGGTGAGCTTGTGTTTGTTATTTCGTTCTCCTCCATTCGCACCATACATTGCCATTCTCTTCCCTCTCTCCTCTCCCCCGTCATATCACGCCCTCTCCCTTTCACACTCCCTCACACTCACTCACACTTGCTCACACTCACTGTCTCCTCCGCACTCTCACTCATAGGCCCTTCACGCGTCTGCAGCAGCTGGGCCTGGAAATAACATCCATCACACAGGAGGTCATCAATCTCATCGTCTACCTCACTTCATTAAGTAAGTCACTTAGGCACTAAGTGTGTCTGAGACACTTAAGTAACCCTACCAGACCTCGAGATTAAGTCACCAACTAGTTTTCACTAACGACTCATCTTCCTTCCCTCTGCCTCTACTCCTGACTCCCTCCACCTGCGCTCCCACCCCCCTACTCTCACACTGCAGTATTCGCGGCAGCGGGTATTTTCCTGTGGGTGTCGTACATGAACCCTGCAGTGAAGGCATAAGCTTCATCTTCTTTCTGAATTCACTCCTATTCCTCTGCCTGCTCTCTTTTCCCTCTGCTCTCTCACGCACTGCAGTATTCGCAGCAGCAGGCATTTTCCTGTGGGTGACATACCTGAACCCTGAGGTGCAGGAGACAGGCAACTGTGAGCCGGTCAACTGCCTCGACTACGCCATGTCGCTCTACTTTGTTGTTGTCACAGTGAGATGTGCCGGGTTAAAGGTGGATGGGTGAGAGGTGAGTGGGTGAGAGGTGGGTGGGTGGGTGGGAGGAGAGGTGGGGTGGTTGGGTGAGAGGTGGGTGGGTGGGAGGAGACAGGCAGCTGTGAGCCGGTCAACTGCCTCGACTATGCCATGTCGCTCTACTTTGTTGTTGTCACGGTGAGATGTGCTACACGACAGCTAACAGAAAGCTACTTACCAAAAGCAGGCATCTTCCTGTGGGTGACGTACCTGAACCCTGCGGTCAAGGATACATGCGACTGCCTCGACTATGCCATGTCGCTCTACTTAATTGTTGTCATGGTGAGCATTGTGTCAAAATCTCAGCCACTAGATCACTGGGATAAAAAGGCTTGTTAAGTAGCGGGTCAGTGCGCCCATAACCCCACAGGCCAACGAGCATGTAACCCTTCCGTAGGATCAATCGGGCATCCCCAGTGCAAGTGTTCTGACACCCCTCACAGGGATGCCATAGGACACGGCACAGCGACCCCGCCAGCATGTGCGCACATGGGGATTCGAACCCGAGACCTTCGCTCTGATACCATGTCAAAATCACAGCCACTAGACCACTGGAATAAAAGGTCCTGTTAAATAGCGGGTCAGTGCGCCCATAACCCCTCAGGCCAACGAGCCTGTAACCCTTCCCTAAAATCAATCGGGCATCACCAGTGCAAGTGTTCTGACACAATGCTGCAATAAAAGCTGATTGGCTTACACATGACTCCTCAAAAGAAAGCTCCTTCCATGCTCCCTCGGTGTGCTGACGAGCGTGTCTGCGCCCGCTCCCGTCACCCTCTCATTCCTCCTTCCCCCCATCTCTCCCTCCTCACTATGGTAACATATTGGCGACCAACACAGCAGGGCGGGTGGTGGTGATATGCATCACACCCCTCTCCTTTCCCCCTTCTCACCTCCCTCCCATGCACCAGATATCCACGGTGGGCTACGGTGACATCTTGGCAACCAACACAGCGGGGCGGGTGGTGGTGATGTGCATCATAGTGGCGGCGCTTGTCATTCTGCCCGTGCAGCTCAGCAACATCTCCAACCTCCTCGCCCACAGGTAAGTACCGATAGAATTCTCATTCACACTTGCATTCACACTCTCATTCACACTTGCATTCACACTCTCATTCACACTTGCATTCACACTCTCATTCACACTTGCATTCACACTCTCATTCACACTTGCATTCACACTTGCATTCACACTCTCACATTCGCACTCCCACTCGCACCTGCAGCTCAAAACCCTTACCATCCACTCCCTTTACTGCTCCCTAGTTCAGGCCATACGGTGGAAGGTTTTCAGCAGCTTCCGCCACAGGCATGCGTTTTGTGGTGCTGACGGGGCAGCTCTCTCCTCTCTCCATCCAACAGTTCCTCGCTGAGCTGTACCACCCGCTACATGACAAAGGTAGCCGCCCGCTATTTGATTGCGGTAGTCACACGCTACATGACAAAGGTGGCCAACCAACCACTATCACATCAATAGGGTAGCATCCACACCACCATCTTCTCCCATAATCACCTCTCCTCACAATCACACCCCCTGGCCTTTGTCCCTTTTTCTTTCCCTCTCTTGTTTGCTTTCCCTTATCATCAGACTTTGCTTCCTACCCTCTCCACACTGTCATTCTCGCGCCCTTTGAACCATCGTGAGTGTGGCTTTTCTGTCCAGAAAACCCTTTTCTTCACAAGGCACCACAGTGTTTCCATCCCCCATGTTACGACTTTGATTACGCTGCTCTCCTTTGGCTAGTCTCCTACGAATGTTCACGGCTCTCATTCAACAGCTCTCATTTCACATCTCTCTTTTTGACGTCTCTAATTTCACAATTCTCATCATCTCAGTCGCTCTTTTCTGCACATCGCCTCACCACTACTCGCCTTCTGCCGCTCCTCCAAACCCATTCCATCCCATTCCCCCACCCCAATCACCTCCTCTCCCCATCCCTTCCCAGCTTTGAGCTGCGGGCTCTGATCACAGAATACCACGGTGCAGTGCGGTTCATTCAGGGTTCGCCCATGACGCTCTACGACCTGCACCGTGTGCAGATCGCCCTCGCCTCCGCCGTCTTCATCCTCCTCCCCTCGCTCCAATCCGTGAGTGCCCTTCCTGACTCATGTTTCGAAGGGCTGCAGTAGTAGAGAGGACGCTTAAGCAAAGGAATCAAACAGTGAAAAAAGGTGAGAAAAACGCAGATCTGAAACAACCCTTAGCTTCCGAAAAGCCTCCTCGCTCCAATCCGTGAGTGCCCTTCCCTCTCCTTCTGCAATCCGTGAGTGCCCTTCCCTCTCCTTCTGCAATCCGTGAGTGCCCTTCCCTCTCCTTCTGCAATCCGTGAGTGCCCTTCCCTCTCCTTCTGCAATCCGTGAGTGCCCTTCCCTCTCCTTCTGCAATCCGTGAGTGCCCTTCCCTCTCCTTCTGCAATCCGTGAGTGCCCTTCCCTCTCCTTCTGCAATCCGTGAGTGCCCTTCCCTCTCCTTCTGCAATCCGTGAGTGCCCTTCCCTCTCCTTCTGCAATCCGTGAGTGCCCTTCCCTCTCCTTCTGCAATCCGTGAGTGCCCTTCCCTCTCCTTCTGCAATCCGTGAGTGCCCTTCCCTCTCCTTCTGCAATCCGTGAGTGCCCTTCCCTCTCCTTCTGCAATCCGTGAGTGCCCTTCCCTCTCCTTCTGCAATCCGTGAGTGCCCTTCCCTCTCCTTCTGCAATCCGTGAGTGCCCTTCCCTCTCCTTCTGCAATCCGTGAGTGCCCTTCCCTCTCCTTCTGCAATCCGTGAGTGCCCTTCCCTCTCCTTCTGCAATCCGTGAGTGCCCTTCCCTCTCCTTCTGCAATCCGTGAGTGCCCTTCCCTCTCCTTCTGCAATCCGTGAGTGCCCTTCCCTCTCCTTCTGCAATCCGTGAGTGCCCTTCCCTCTCCTTCTGCAATCCGTGAGTGCCCCTCCCCGCTCTCCACTCCGTGAGTCCGCCCACCCTCCCTCCTTTTGAAACATCTCCCAATGAATTGCTACAAGGTGGAGATGGGTGATGCACAGGATATGCTTTTCTCTCTCCTCCCCACCCTCTATCCCAGTCTCATGTGCTGGACAACGGTCAGATCGCACAGGCCCTCGCAATGAAACGCTATGCAGGGCCACTGTCCCGCCTCGTCGCGCAGATGGGCGACTCACTCCACAGCAGTGATATGCCTCCTACCCCCCTACCGTATGCTTCCTTCCTACCCCCCTCCTCGGCGCTTGCCCGTCTGACCCTAAACCCTGAACCCTGTTTTTCTACCCTGCTGCCCCCTCCCCCCCTTCCAGTCGCGTGCTCTGGACAACGGGCAGATAGCGCAGGCCCTCGCAATGAACCGCTATGCGGGGGCGCTGTCCCGCCTGGTGGTGGAGATGGGCGATCCGCAGGCTTATGCCTCCCTGGTGTATGGCCTCCTGCCGCTGCCTCTATGCATCTCTGCCGTTTACCCCCTGGGTTTTTCCCCGCTGCCCCCCTGTTTCTCTTCCCTGCTCCCCACCCACCCCCTCCTCCAGTCGCGTGCGCTGGACAATGGGCAGATAGCGCAGGCGCTCGCAATGAACCGCTATGCGGGGGCGCTGTCCCGCCTGGTGGTGGAGATGGGCGATCCGCAGGCGGCAGTGCTGCCGGTGTGGGACTCGGCAACCCACCGCATGCAAGTGCTCAGCCATGAGAGCCTGCGGTTCAAGGTGTTGGGGTCCAGGTGAGTCAACGTGGGTCCAGGTGAGTCAACGCTTTCTTAGGGGTCCAGGTGAGTCAGTTCCTTTTTAGTTGCCTCAAATGCCGTAGGTGGTTGTGCTGCTGGTGTGGGACTCGGCAACCCACCGCATGCAAGTGCTCAGCCATGAGAGCCTGCGGTTTAAGGTCCTGGGGTCCAGGTGAGTCAACGTGGGTCCAGGTGAGTCAACGCTTTCTTAGGGGTCCAGGTGAGTCAGTTCCTTTTTAGTTGCCTCAAATGCCGTAGGTGGTTGTGCTGCTAGTGTGGGACTCGGCAACCCACCGCATGCAAGTGCTCAGCCATGAGAGCCTGCGGTTCAAGGTGTTGGGGTCCAGGTGAGTCAACGTGGGTCCAGGTGAGTCAACGCTTTCTTAGGGGTCCAGGTGAGTCAGTTCCTTTTTAGTTGCCTCAAATGCCGTAGGTGGTTGTGCTGCTGGTGTGGGACTCGGCAACCCACCGCATGCAAGTGCTCAGCCATGAGAGCCTGCGGTTTAAGGTCCTGGGGTCCAGGTGAGTCAACGTGGGTCCAGGTGAGTCAACGCTTTCTTAGGGGTCCAGGTGAGTCAGTTCCTTTTTAGTTGCCTCAAATGCCGTAGGTGGTTGTGCTGCTGGTGTGGGACTCGGCAACCCACCGCATGCAAGTGCTCAGCCATGAGAGCCTGCGGTTTAAGGTCCTGGGGTCCAGGTGAGTCAACGTGGGTCCAGGTGAGTCAACGCTTTCTTAGGGGTCCAGGTGAGTCAGTTCCTTTTTAGTTGCCTCAAATGCCGTAGGTGGTTGTGCTGCTGGTGTGGGACTCGGCAACCCACCGCATGCACGTGCTCAGCCATGAGAGCCTGCGGTTCAAGGTCCTGGGGTCCAGGTGAGTCAACGCCAGTCAACCTGTAAGCTGACCGGTTGTGAAGCCTCTTCCCCTCCCCCTCCCCCTCCCGGTCCCCATGCCCATCCCCCTCCCCTTCAGCTGCTTCATGCGAGGCCTCTCCACGCTACTAGCCAACCTGCTGCGCTCACCTCTCCTGCTCGACTCGCCCGGCCACAAGGCATGGCTGCCAGAGTACCACGCCGGCTGCCTGCACTCCATCTACCCCGTGCTCCTCCCCCCCGCCTTCCATGGCTTGCCCTTCGAAGAGGTTGCTGAGTTTGTGTACCGGTGCTTTCACGTGTGCCTCTTTGCTCTTGATGTGCTGGTGGATCCGTGCGGGGCGCATGGAGGGATGGAGAGGAGTGGGGAGTGTGTTGACTGTATAGAGTTTGTGGAGTGTGTAGAGTGTGTAGAGTGTGAAGAGTGTGTGGAGTGTGGAGGTAGGGAGGAGGGGCACAGTTGTGCTGAGGCAGAGGCCACAGCAAAGCCAACGCAGCGACCACATGCACGTGCAGCACCAACTGCAGCCGCAGGACTAGGAGCAACAACAGAGGTAGCAGCAGCATTACCAGCAGCAGCGGAAGCAGCCCCAAGCTTTTACGTGGGCAAAAAGGCAAGCCGACCTCCCAGGCCTCTCAAAAACCCCCTCCCCCAGTTGAGCCGCCTGCTCTCCCACCCCCACGAGGAGCTCTACCTTCTTCTCAACCCCTCCGCTGCTGCCTCTGCTTCTGCCTCTGCCCACACGCCAGTAGGAGCAGGAGAACCAGCAAAAGCAGCAGGGGCAGCAGGGGCAGCAGGAGGTAGCAGCACAGGCAGACGGAAAGCATGGAATGCAGGCAGTGGCATGGCGAGGAAAATAGAGCAGCAGCTGAGGGCGGGGCTTGGGATGAGGAAGAAGGGAGCGAGAGGAGCAGGGAGAGTGGGGCTGGAGTGTGGGTGCCAGAGAGGTGTGTTCCTGCTGCCCTCAGAGCACATCATCCGCAGCTCTGTGGACGTGGGGCTGGTGATTGCGCCCTGCCTTGATGCTGCTGAAAGGGTTTCCGCGTTCACAGGCGGATTGCACAGCGGGGAGAGTGGTGGTGGGGAGAGTGGCTCTTGGGGGAGTGGCCGTGGGGGGAGTGGCAGGGAAAGGCAGTCATGGTGGGGGATTGGGAGGAGAAAGGAGGAGGGAGGTGTGGGAGGGGAGGTGGAAAAACAGGGCGATGGTAGCAGGGGGGCCTGTGAAGGTGGTGGGCGTCGGCAGCAGTTCTGCAAGAAGCATCAGGAGCAGCAGCAGCAGCATCACCAGCACCACCACCACCATCACCACCACCATCACCAGCACCAGCACCAGCACCAGCACCAGCACCAACACCACCAGCATCAGCACCAGCACCACCACCAGCACCAGTGCCAGCACGAGCAGCACCAGCAGGAGGGAATGACTGAACAACAACAGCAGCAGCAGCAGCAGCAGCAGCAGCAGCAGCAGCAGCAGCAGCAGCAGCAGCAGCAGCAGCAGCAGCAGCAGCAGCAGCAGCAGCAGCAGCAGCAGCAAGCAAGCAGTGCAAACCAACAGCAACAACATCAGCTCATTCCCCAGCCGCCGCAAGCCCTGCTATTCCACCCCATCACCCGCCAGCACCACCACCCCCTCACTGCATCCACCCTTGCAGCAGCACGCGCATCCAACCCCCTCTTCCGCCATGTCTCCTCCTTCCTTTTCGGCACCCGTCGGGCTGCCTCGCTGCTGCTGCCATCCCCGGCTGCTGCTGCTGACGCTCGGTCACTGTTCCAGATGGTGCAGGAGGAGTGGACGAGGAGAGGGGCAGGTGGAGGGGCTGAGATGGCACCAGCTGCTGCTGCTGCGGCTGCTGGTACTGCTGGTGCTGCTGCTGCTGCTGCTGCTGGCGCTGGCACTGGCGCTGGTGGTGGTGGTGCTGCTGGTGGTGGTGGTGTGGGTACAATGAGTTTGGGAAGAGATGTGAGTGTGAGTTTTATGCCTGATGACCCTCATCTCACAGACAGTCATCTGACCACGCCGTTGCTCTCCCGATACTGCCACCACCATGCAGCAGTAGCAGCATCCCCACCAGCAGCTGGATCCGGAACAGCAGCAGCAGCGGCAGCAAAAGGGCACCAAAGTATGTCACCCCAAACGAATCCTCCAATAACGAGGGCAAGTGAGCCTGGCATTAGCAGCAGCAAGCGGAAGGTAGTGCGGTTTCAGGGTATTGGGCCGGAGGATCGGGGAGACACAGAGCAGGGGGGAGGCATGGACATGGAAAGTCAGGGTTTTCTGGTGGGTGGAGGCAAGATAGACGGGGGGAGGGAAGGATGGGAAATAATAGAGGAGGGGTGCGAGGAGAGAAAGGGAGTGGAAGGGGATGTGTCTGCACCTCTCCCTGCCTCTGCACCTCTGCTTGTTACTGCACTTGCGCCTACCTCTGCATTCAGTCCTCAAGAACCTTCTGTCACGGAAGGTGGTGCTACTGCTGCCAGGCAAGGGCCTCATGATGACGCTTTGGGCGTTGGTACAACTGTGGAAGGTGGTGGTGGTGCTGCTGCTGCTGCTGCTGCTGGTGTTGTGGCTTGCGTTGCTGCAGCTGGTGGGGAGGGAGCTGTGTTCGCCCAGGATAAGCCCTTCTTGCGCCTGCTAGCCAAAGCTGGTGCAGAGGAGAAACGAGTAGGGAAGGGAGAAGGAAAGGGAGAGGGGACAAAGGACGGCGAAGAGAAACGAGAAGCAGACAAGCAAGCGGAGGCAGAGCAGGAGGTGGAGGAGGAGGGGGGAAATGGAGAGGAGGAAGAGGAAGAAGAGGAGGAAGAGGAAGAGGAGGAGGAAGAGGAGGAGGAGGTAGAGAGGCCGGCAGTGGAGGTGGTGGATCGGCACGAGGAGGCAATTCTCGCTCATCTGGACTCGCACACCCTCCCTGTTGCTGACTTTGCCTCGCCTCACATCCTCGTGTGTCTTGCTGGCAGCAGCAGCAGCGTTGGTGGCGGTGGGAGTGATAGTGACGGGGAGGAGGAGGGGGGAGGGGAGGCGGGGGAGGGAGGGGGCGTGGTGGCATGGGCGGCGAATTTGTTCTGCCTGGTGAAGCACCTCAGGAGCAGGGCACTGCCGCAGCGACCCATAGTTATCATGCACCCCCATGTACGTTTCTTTGCGTTCATAAGTTCTTTAGGCACCTCAATGATAGATATGTTCTGCCTCGTGGCCTCATCATAGCTGGCGTCCTCCCTCCCCCTCACTTTCTCCCATCCTTTCTCCCCCTTACTTTCCTCCAGATTCTTGCAGCACCCCATTCACCACGAGAGGCCAAGTGGGCATCTTCCCCAACGTCTTCTTCCTCTGCACCCTCCCCCACGCACGATCTCGATCTCATCCGAGCCAGTGCCTCCTCTCCCTCTCTTCCTTTCCCCTCTTCCCCTCTCTTCCTCCCATACCTCGCAGCACCCCACACACCGAGAGCGGGCGCAGGTGAGAATTTGCCCCGACGTCTTCTTCCTCTGCAGCTCGCCCATGCTCGATCTCAACCTCATTCGAGCCACTGGCCCCCTCCCTCTCGTCCCCTTCCCCTCCCATTCCCCCCATCCATCGCAGCACCCCACGCACCGTGAGTGGGCCCAAGTAGACCCAGACGTTTTCTTCATCTGTGGCTCCCCCACGCACGATCTCGATCTCATCCACGCTGGTGCCCTCCCTTCCCCCCCCCACATCCCCACACCACAGCACCCAACTCACCGGGAGTGGGCGCAGGTGGGAATCTTCCCCGACGTTTTCTTCATCTGTGGCTCCCCCACACACGATCTCGACCTCATCCGAGCCGGCGTCCTCTCAGCCGAAAAGGTCCTTGTCATCTCCCCCGACCAATCGCCAGGCGCCACGTCACCCTCCCTCTCCTCCTCCTCCTCAGGCCCCTCGGCGGACCTGGCAAGCGTGGTGGTGGCAGCACATGTGGAGCAGTTACAGGGAGGGTGGGAAACAGACGGAGAGAGCGGGGAAGCAGCGGAGGAAGGGGAGAGAAGAAAGGGTGGGTTGCTGGTGGAGCTACAGAGTGAGCAGTCTTATCAGTACTTCCAGCCGCTGTATCTGCTGCCAGGGCGTCGGGCGGAGAGGAGATCGTATCTGCGGAACAGGATGGGGGTGTATGCGTTTGCTCCTGTCTTCCAGAGCGGAAGGGCCTTCTGCAGCACTGCACTCTCCGCTGTCTCGTGAGTATTGAGACGATTTGTTCAATTGGCTCTCATCACACGGGGAGTTTATGCCTTTGCCCCTGTCTTCCAGAGCGGACGGGCCTTTTGCAACTCTGCGCTCTCTGCTGTCTCGTAAGTATGGTGTCAGAACTTACACTCTTGGGTAATATCTGCGGAACAGGGCAGGGGTGTACGCCTTTGCGCCTGTCTTCCAGAGAGGAAGGGCCTTCTGCAGCACTGCACTCTCCGCTGTCTCGTAAGTATTGAGTCGCAGTAGTTCCAGAAGTTTCAACCCTGGACATTTGTTTCTGAGTGCATCAAAACAGGTTCCAAAAGTTCCATCCTTGGATACTGTGAGGTGTCGACCCTACTGATTCGCTTCTCCTGTTTCTCTCCAATTCCCTGCCCTGCTGTTTCCACCCTTCCCCTCCTTCTAAACTTCAATGCTCTGCACCTCCTGCTCTCTATGGGCCCTGCTGATTCTTGGGGCACCGATAGTTGATTTAACATGTTTTACGTTCACAGCTCCACACCTCTCTCACCTCCCTTCCCCACCCCCATACTCCCACTACTCCGAACGTGTTCGTTCGCCCATCCCAGTGTGGCCACCTTCTACAATCGCAACATCTCCACCATTCTGCACCTCTTGTTATCTGGGAGCCCTCCCATCCCCCCTCTCACTGCCACACCCACTGCGTCTGCTGCTCCATCTGCTGCGCCAACTGCTGCTCTCCCATCATCCTCTTCCACACCCAAGCAACCCCGAGCAGCAGCACGATCGCCTCCTCACACCCACCACCACCACCAGCACCCGAAGCACAGGCGGCAGCTGTGGCAATGTGAGGTGCCACACGAGTTTGTGGGGAGGGGGTACGGCGAACTCTTTGTAGACATGCTGCGCTCCAGGCATGCGCTTGCCCTGGGGCTGTACCGTGTGGCGGGCACCTTGGGATCTCCCACTGCCTTTGTGCACACAAATCCTCTCCCATCTACACCTCTTTCTCTGGGCGACCTTGTCTTTTACATCATGTGATGTCGTACATCGTCTTTCCTGCCTGCCAGAAAAAAGTAGGTAACCGCTGAAACCAAGGCTCATACAGTTTTGGCTGTTGCATACCATTTAGGCATGGAATGTAAGGGCCTGGGAGGAACGGATTACGGTACTTTTTTTGCAGAGTGGTAGTTTCAGGCATGGTTTTTATTGTGAAGATACAAACTGCGAATAGGGTTGAAATATATATATTTCAGCCAAACATGCCTTGGGCCACATGTTCATGGTGCAGTCTACACTGCCCGCTTTTCATATCTACACTTGATAAAGTCCCGTTGCCTAGCAACCCGGCGAAGTATGCAAAAGTGCTGATGTAACTGCCGGCTTCGATAATGGTCCGCGCTTTTGAAAGCAGGAAGAACTCAGCCATGGTGGGAAGCCGCTGTGTAACCCTTTCAGGAATAGTGGCACTAGAATAGCCGGTGCCATTCACACCAGCCCTGCTGCCGCTGCTGCTGCTATCACTATTGCCCTCCACCCCCATGCCCAAACTACTGCTCTCCAGTCCCTCTGCTCCCACACTCCCGCCAATACCGCTGCCGTTGCCACTGCCAGCACTGCCGCCAGCCTTGGAGGTGTGGAAGATGCCTCCAGAGGAGAAGAAGACAGTGCCGTACTCTGCCAGTCGTGCCACAAACTCGGCGCGGTGCTCCTCATCGTCTGTGGCTAGAAAAATAGAAAACTCGCTACTGCTGCTGCTGCTGCTGCTGCTGCTCGATCCGCCTCTGCTGTTAGAGGGATCTGTGGTGGTGCTGCTGGGGAGGTCGTCTCGCATGGACCGGAGTGTGCTGAGAATGCCGCCTATGCACTCCCACAGGCAGTTGCGCAGGAACCGGGGTCGGGGGGAGGTGGCACTGGCACTGGCACTGGTGGTGCTGCTGCCGGTGCTGCTGCTGCTGGTGCTAGTGCTGATTGCAGGGGAATCTTCAGGGTCTTGGCAGTCGGCGTCTTGGTACGTGTCTCCTGATTGCCGAACGACTTTCTCCAGGGCCAGGGTGCGAGTGCGAACATGGAACCCCACGTCAAACTCTATCTCAGGCCCCGCGTGTGCTGGCTCACTGATGATTGATGAGGCTGCTGCTGCACCTGCACCTGCAGCTGCTGGGTCTGCTGTGCTGCCACTGCTACTGCTGCTGCTACTGCTGCTGCCTGTGCTGCTGTCTGTGTCCTGGGTGCTGCTTTCCCTGCCGTTACTGCTGTTTTTTCTGCCCTCACTGCTGCTGTTATGAGGCACGCGGCGCAGGACAGAAGAGATGGTGGAGGTGAGGGCTGGAGTGGGGCCAGTGCGGGAGAGAAAGGCGAACATGGCGCGGGAATGGACACACCACACAGACCTGAAAGAAGAAGGGGGGCAAAGGTGGGTATGGATGGAGGCGATTCGAGTGATGATGGGAAAGATGATGGGGGAGATGAGAGGAGAGGTGATGATGGTACAAACAGCAGCAGAGATGGTACGAAGGGGCCGGAACAGAGGGCAGCGTGAATGCAGTGGCTTTGAGCAGTGGAACAGAGGGCAGCGTAAATGCCTTTTGAGGCGCCTCAAAAATGGTATTGAGCAATGGAACAGAAAGTGACTTACGAGCAGTGGAAGGCGGCAAAGACGCATGAGCGCAGGCGGTCATAGCGGTGCCAGAAGAGGAAAAAGAGGGTGCCATTGCGTAACAGAGGGCGACTCACTCACGAGCAGTTAAACAGAATGCAACCCCCAAGCGTGATTAATTGACTCACGAGCAGTGGAAGGCGGCAAAGACGCAGGAGCGCAGGCGGTCGCTTCGGTGCCAGAAGAGGTCAAAGAGGGTGCCACTGCGCGTGGCGAGTACCGGGTAGTCTGATTGCAACGATGCTGCTATGGCTGGAGGTGTGGTGTGGGGTGGGGTGGGACGGGGTGGGTTGGGGTAGGGTGAGATGGGGCGGAGTAGGGTGGGGTGGGGTAGGTTGAGTGAAGGGCGGTCGCTGCGGTGCCAGAAGAGGTCAAAGAGTGTGCCGCTGCGGGTGGCGAGGACCAGGTAGTCTGACTGCAGTGATGCTGCTATGGCTGGTGTGGGGTGGGATGCAATGGGATGGGTTGGGGTAGGGTGGACATAGGGGTTGGGTGGGGTTAAAAAGGACCTCAAAACCCTCCCCCTCTCTCCCCCTGCCCCCCTGTCCGCCTTGAAAGCACCTTACTTTGAACGTTCTGGTATCTCTCCAGGAAGTAGATGGGTCGCAGCATGGCAAACTTGCGCAGCAGTTCAACGCCCGTCCCACTGCGCCCCTCGCTCGCACTCCTCACTACTTCCACCGCCCCTTCCGCCCCCACATCCCCCATCAACCCTCTCCGCGCCCCCTTCTCCTCCCGGACTCCTACTCCCTCTCTTGCCCCTACACCTCTCCCGTCCGCTCCATCCCCTAACGCTCCTCCCGCGCTCCTCTTCCCCTCGTCACCCACATCCCCATCCTCTTCCTCCCCACCCGCACCATCCCCCCCACTCCCATCCTCCTCCCCACCGCGATCCACCCCTCCGGGCTGCCCCACAGCATCGAAGCTACACCCATACGCCTGGCACAGGAGATCGTACACCCGCGCGTGCTCCCCCGCGTGCAGGCGCACCAGCCGCCGCCCCGCCAGGCTGGCATAGACGAACGCGGAGACGAACCCGCGCAGGGAGTTCCCGAGGCCATGGCGCGGGAGGAAGGCGAGGAAGCGCTCGTTGGGGCGGAGCAGGTCGAGCAGGGAGGTGACTGGCGGCCTGGGATTGGGAGACGGACGGGGGAAGGGAGGGTAAGGAAGAAGCTGAGGCAACATTTGCTTACTTACGGCGGAGAGAGGAAGTGCGACTCACATGTGCCCGTGAAAAGAAAACAAACGCGGAGTCTCAAATAAGTAGACTCACATGCGGGCTGTGGATTCTCTGAACTCATCCGGCACGATGTCAGCACACATCGCCTCGCGGCCCACGTCGATCCGCACGTCCTGCACGAACCGCGACTGCCACGGCCGCCGCGAAACCCCTCCCCCCGCACCGTTCGTTCCGCCCAACCCTCCGCCCAACCCCCCGCCCAACTGCTGCGCGCCGATCTCCCCTTCCCGCAGCCCGTCCGCCGCTGCTAGCGCCATGATGCTCCTCCGGCCTTCCTCGCTCAAAACCATGCTTCCGTCGCTGTTCCTCTCGTCCCCCACGCCCCCCTGCTCCCCTCGCCCTGTCCGGATATCCGGCAGGTGCTGCCGCGTGGCGAGGAGGGATTGGACAGCGGAAGCGCGCGCGGCGGAGGACCAGAGGAACGGGTAGTAGTGACCCGCGAAGTTGGAGCACAGGAAGAGGATTATAACGAGAAGAATATTCTGTAAACGAGAGCCGACGCTGCTGCCGCTAGCGCCGCCGCTCGCACCCGCGCGCCTCCATGGGCTACTAGGCCCTGGCGACATTCCCCCCGAGGCTGAATCTCCCCCATATCCGCCGCCTTTGCGGCTTCTTGCGCTCACGCCCTTGCTGGTGCTGCTGCTGGTGGTGGTGGCAAAGCCACCGGTATTCCCTATGACGCTGAATCCGCCTCGGTGATTGGTCCATCCGTGCGAAGGCGGCGGAATATGCGGCAAGAGTTTCGCCGCTCCCGACGCTGACGTGCACGGATTGCCAAGGGACGGGGAGCGCGGTGTGGGGGATGAGGGTGATCTTGCCGAAGGTGACTCAAACGAAGGGTCGTCATCGTCGCTGAGGCTGACCTTACTCCTGGGAAGCTTAGAGCCCGCGGGAGATCGACCTCCGCGCGAAAGAGGAGACTTCGGGTTACCAGCAGTAAAAGATTCGCTTGGTACCCCTCCTTCCGCTGCTGGCCTCCCAGCGGCGCCCGCAGTGCCGGTGAAACGGCTAGAGAGCCATGAGGATTGTTTCCGATCCGAGGAGCGGTTAGGCGGCGATCTTATGCGCAACGGCTGGGAGAACATTCAGTCTACCCGCAGTGTCAATGCTCTCGCGGCCGAATTCGGCTTCCCGTGCATTCGGATCTCAACGAATTCGTAAAAAAATAGCGTTTCCCTGAATGCACTAAAGCGGGTATATATTGACGGCGATGACTGGTATAGTTAAACGCTCCGACAGCATTCACCCACACACACAAACTCTGACGGCTATCCGACAACCCTAATGTCGACCGTCGATCTTCTCACGGCTCTCCGACAGTCCCCACGCACTAAAGCTGATTTGGATGATAAGTGGTTGACGTGCAGATACCTAGGCTTTCATTCTCACGCAAGGGAAGGATCCTTTACTATCACCTGGGGCCTGAAATCACGACCTAGACTCCAGGCTCGATAAGCTTCAGAATGGGAGGAGAAACAATGCACGAGATCAAGGCCAAACAAAAAGGATCGGCTTACGTCACGAGAAAGCTTAGCAGAGTACGAGGAAGGAAGAAGGTCAAGAGTGAAATAACCAAGTCTGAGGAGCGATTGGGGGTGGGTGGCGCGTACGGTGGTGAAGCAGCACGAGGGGGAAGGGGGGTGCCAGATGAGCAGTCAAGAGAAGCTCTGAGAATTGGTGGATGATGCGATGGGATCAGCCAATGGAGCTTCCAAGCTAGGAAGGTTGGTTGGGTGAGTGAATGCTATTGGCCCACGAACCAGCACTTCGTCGAAATTGGAATGTCGAGTGTCGCAGACAGCAACAGTCTCGCCAGGGTTACCCTGCTTCACAAATGGGTCGCCTAGATAAAAAACCTGCGACCGTAGCCATCGCACAAAAGCGGAATGGCAATTGGCAAATGGCGATCAGTAAATGCATGATTTGGTCTGTCACTACCCTTGCACGTAATTGGAGCTCAAGCGTGCTTTACGAGGCCGAGCTGGTCGTAAGCTAGGAGAATTTCTCTGAACATCGCTAATCTATAAAATGATACCGCCAACACCCACTCACGCTAGATGGATGTTGCAGGCCGGGGGCTTAGCGCGTTTGAGAACATGCCCGCAAGCGATTTCCGTACTAACTCCGCTAGACCCGTCCCTACCGCTTATTTCCCTTCCTACACGCTGCAACTCTCTTCCCTAACACCACGATTCCCTCCGCGCGGCTATTCCCTTCCCGTCGCGATACTTTTTACGCTGCCCTGTTATTCCGTCCCGTGGCGCGGCTATTCCTTGGCTCTCACGGCTGTCCCCCCCCTTTTCGCGGGCGGAAACCGCTTCGTCGCGCGGCTGTTCCCTTTACTCGCGTAACTCCAGTTACTCACCCCAAACCCTAAACGCGAGTCTCCCGCCGCAATTCCCCTGTCTCCCGCCTGGAGTCCGTACGCTAACGCTGTCACTCCTTTTCCCGCACGATGCCACTCCCTACCACACACGCTTACATTCCCTTCGCCACACGATGCCATTCCAACCCCCCCCCCCCCACGCTGCCATTCCCTCCCACTCACTCTTCCATTCCCTTCCCCTCCCTTCCTCTCTTGCTGCCTCTACCTTTCCCCCATGCTGTCATTCTCTCTTCCCCTCGCGCTGCGATTACCTTCCCCTCAAGCTGCCATTCCTTTCCCAGCTGCCATTCCCTTCTCCTCTTGCTGCTCTTCCCTTCCCTCACGCTGCCTCTCCCCTTCCCCTCACGCCCTCCAGGCGCCTCCCATGAAGACGGAACCTAACTTCCGACCCTCTGATCTGCTGTTCTGACCCTCTGAGCTGCTGTTCCGACCCTCTTAGGTGCTGTTCCGACCCTCTGAGGTGCTGTTCCGACCCTCTGAGCTGCTGTTCCGACCCTCTGAGCTGCTGTTGCGACCCTCTGAGCTGCTGTTCCGACCCTCTGAGCTGCTGTTTCGACCCTCTGAGCTGCTGTTCCGACCCTCTGAGCTGCTGTTCCGACCCTCTGAGCTGCTGTTCCGACCCTCTGAGCTGCTGTTCCGACCCTCTGAGCTGCTGTTCCGACCCTCTGAGCTGCTGTTCCGACCCTCTGAGCTGCTGTTCCGACCCTCTGAGCTGCTGTTCCGACCCTTGAGTTTAGGGTTCCGACATCACCCACACACCAGCATCGGCATAGCCCTCTGTCTTCTCCACTCTACGCCTCTTCCTCGTGGACTCATACGCCCCTGCCTTCAACTCCCTGCCTTCAACTCCCTGCCTTCAACTCTTTGCCTGCCCCTCACTTCCTTGCTGGGGAAATTCCTTAGAATTTCTTCCCTTCAGATCCCCTCACCTCCATTCAGGTCCCCTCCTTTTCCTTCCTTTCCCCTCGCTTTTCTTCCCAACCCGCCACGATTTGTTCCCTCTTCAAGAATCTCTTCCCTTCCCTTCCCTTCCGTTCCTTTCCTGTTTCGCTCTTCCTCGTATCTCAGTTTTGCCTCGCTTGCTCTCTGTTCATCTCTTCTTTGCCCATTTTTCCCCCTTTTCTCTTCCCTGCTGCGCTCTCATCCCTCCATCAGTGGGTTCCATGTCCAGAAAAGTCACCATCGGAGGGAGGGGAAGCGCAACAAAAGGGGTGGTAGGGCGGCTGGTGGCTACAAAATGAAGAGCAGGAGCAGGGAGGAGATGATGGTGGGGAGATGATGTCCGGTGGCTGCCACTCCCTTCCCCACACGCTGCCACTCCCTTCCCCACACGCTGCCTCTCCCTAAACCTTTCTTCTAGAAAAGAACATGGAACTTGGGAATTTCAAACATGAGGTCTGATCAGGCTTTGTAGCGTTCAAAACTCCTACGGTAATCACAAAGCTTGGCTTTTGATATTACTCCTGCCTAACGTTGATTTATTTCCTTAACAATTCATGCTAACTTATATACTTATAAGTTTCTCATTATCGTCCCTTCGTGGCTCCACTTGCTAAGGCGTCAAGGAAACACCCAGCATGGGCTTTCCATTTTTAACAGAATGGTTATCCTAAGCAGATGATGCTGTAATGAACTCCTCGTTGTAAGCCCTCCACCTGCTGATGCCCCATTCCCTCCGTTAGCTGCACCTCCGCCACCGCTACTGTTACCCCGCACTTCCGAGCTTTCCAGGGAAAAAAGAGTTTGTTGCCGGGGGGTTGGGCGTCTTTGTCCCAGCGTCCGTCTTCCCATGCGATGGTGGGCTCTTTCCTGGGGGGCTGGTACTTTGACTTTTACCACCATGTTTTACCTTCCCAGGCAAAGGACCACCAGAATCCGGAGGGGCGGGTGTCGTCGTCCCATTTTTCGTCTTTCCAGGAAAGAGAGGGGTCTTCTTTGGAGGGCCATGAGCCTTACTCTCATTCTTGGGCGGTCTTGGAGCAGGTTTCTTCTTGGGGGGTTGTGTTGCCTTAGTCCCATTATTCACCTTTCCTGAAGGAGGGACGGGCTTTTTTGGACTACCTTTATTTGGCTGCTCTGAAGGCGGAGGGATCCTCTTGAAGTTCCCATTATTCGGCTGCCCGGAAGGAGGGGAAACCTTTCCTTTATTCGACTGCCCGGAAGAAGGAGGGCCCTTTTTCAAGCTACCTTTATTCGGCTGGCCTGAACCTGGAGGGACCTTCTTAGGAGGAGTAGCAGTTTTAGGAGGAGGGGACTTAGGAGAGGGGGTCTTCCTGTTCTTAGGTGGGAGAATTCCTGAATTCCCTTCACTCTCCCCTCCGCCACTCCACCCGTTGTTCCCCCCTGTGCTGTTGCCCCTGCCTCCATTCCCCCCACCTCCGCCACTTCCCCAGCCGCCCCCACTCCCCCCTCCTCCCCCTCCTCCCACTCCTCCCCCTCCTCCCCCTCCTCCCTCTCCCCCACCTCCTCCAGAAAACTGCACCTGACAGTCATAGTCTTTCCCTGCTACCCACCCCGCAGGGAGACACGGGCCAGGTGTTTCCACCACCTGCCCGTCCATTAAAGAGGTAAGTCGGAACCTAAGAGGCGACTTGAGGTACGTTCGGTGCACCCACACGGCGCCCCAGTCGTGGTCCATGGGCTTCCACGTGGCGGATCCAGCCTCTGCCACGTGGACGGATGCCAGGTCACCGGGGCCCGCCACGTTGCGCACAAGCAGGTTGATCCAGAAATCGGAACCGGTGGGCGTGAGGCGGATGTTGCGGCTGAAAGCACATGGAACCCTGTATATGGGGCACGGGGTAGTGGGGATGGGATGGGAACAGTGGTGGGAAAGTGAGACGGTGATACTTGGGTCACACGGTGGCACGAGCAGGTTGATCCAGAAGTCAGATCCGGTGGGCGTGAGGCGTATGTTGCGGTTGAAGGCACAGGGCACCCTGCATTTGGGGAATGGGGTGGGCATGAGAGGTGAGACGGTGGCAATGGGGTCACACAGCGGCACGAGCAGGTTGATCCAGAAGTCGCAGCCGGTGGGCGTGAGGCGTATGTTGCGGTTGAAGGCACAGGGCACCCTGCATGGCAGTGGGGTGGTCATGGGGTGTACATAGGTTTTATATGGGGTGGAATGGGGTGGCAATAGAGTGGATACCAGCAGGTCGAAGTGCACACAAGGGGGGCAGCACTGGCCTGTTGCGTGGGTCTGCTACTACTACCCACATGCGCTAGAGCTGGTGGCAGTGAGGTTACATGGGTGGCTGGTTACCCTGATGGGTGGTTACCTGGTATACACGAGGGGTATGTGCCCCGCCACTTGCTCGGCGATAAGGTTAAAGGATGCCATATTGAGGTCGAAGTGCACACACGTGGGGCAGCCCCATCCCCCTCCCGCAGGGCACTGGTCCGTGATGGTCACCGTCACGCTCACGCCCTTCTTGCAATAGGGGCTATCCACACACCGGACTCTGCGGGGGTGGGGAGAGGACGAAGAGAAGGGCGCAAATGGCACGGATGCGGGTGAGTGCCTTTAATCGTGGTGGTCACAATGATGCCACACACGCCCTTCTTGCAGTATGGGCTGTCTCCACAACCTTTGGTGAGTGATAAATCAACTGCAGTGGGAACTGGCAGAACCTAAAAGGCAGGTAGCACGCGCCTCACCTGCAACACCCGCCTCACCTGTAGCAGCTACCACAGCCGCGGCCATCCTTGTAAAGCATCATACTGCCGGCCGGGGCCACGTGTAGCACGCATGTAGCACGGGGTTCACCTGTAGCAGCTGCCACATCCGCGGCCGTCCTTGTAAAGCATCACACTGCCGGCCGCAGTCATGGGGCCATACCCTGCCGCCAGAATGCTGCCAAACCCGCAATTGCCGCCTGCACGCACCACGGGGCAACAGACAGCAGCAATATGGGCCAAAAGGACCACTTTAAGGCACCTCAAATCCGGATACAACTCCCATCTGTTACGAGATCACCGCGTTACTGCAGTTGCTGCCATCCGACGCGGAACGCGACGCAGCGCGCCGAAGCCACCGCTGTCGGCGTGATCGAACCACGCGGGTTGTGAAGAGCATACGGGCCACTGGGTGCGATGCGACACACCTACCGTCGATACCGCCGCCGTAACCTATGACGTATTGAATACGCTGCCATAAGTTACTACTACCGCCGTAACGGAAGGACGTGGTCACCCGATGAGTCATCACGGGTATGGAATGCTGCAAAGGAAACCTCGTCGCAGTCTATCCTGTTTTTCCAGTTTTTTCTAGTTCCTGGTGGGTAACAGCCCACCAGACGTACCGTCGAGTCCGCCTGCGTAGCAATTGGGATGCTGCAAAAGCATTCTCCTCACATTCCTCGCACACGTACCGTCGAGCCCGCCGCCGTAGTACGTGGCTGTGGCTTTCCCCGTGAACCCGAACCCCTGCGACCCCGTGCCGGCCGCCGCCACGAGGTCCTGTATCGACGCGCCGGCGCGCAGCGACACGTGCGCGAGCGCTAGAACGAGGGTTGCTACACGCGCCGCCGTCGTCGAACGGGCTGAATGCGACGGGCGGGGCGAATGCAGCGGCATTTTGAGGCTTCTTGCTGACTCTGTAAATGATTTGCTCGGGAGAAGCGCGGCTGCTGCAATGTCGCGTCTGCGAGAACGATTCGATTAACGTTAGGATGAAGGGCGCGGGATGGGCTGTGGCTCGTAAGTTTTAGAATTTTTCTTTGCGAGTCGGATTGCGATATTTCAGTGTGATGGGCCGACCTTCGTGGATCAAAGTCGCCTCGACCAGAAAACATCGAACTGATTCACAATAGTTTCCTCCAGGTCCTACATTACCAGCAAAAGTGTCTGATAGAGTTGTTTGCGGCTGTTCGAGCGCGGTGCGGTTTGCCTAGCTAGTTCCGCTGGGGAGCTTCAATGCAGTGTATGTAATACTTCTAGCAGCGCCCTGCCTCGTGCAGTAGTGTCACATCGGCTCTCCAGCCTTCGATATTAGTCCCTGCTTTCCAGGGCTTGCTGAAGGACCCTGTTTCTGTTTCTGTCCGACGAGTGTGTTTGAACTGGTTTAAATGGTTTGGGAAGGTTACCAGTCGGTTGTCGGACCTACCACAAGGTTGAGACAAGCAAGCCCCGGTATTGTAACAATTTACCAAAATGCAGATGTCGAAGCATGCAACCAGACGAGTCGCGCAAAGTAGGGGCTAGTGCAGGGCACTGGACCGTGTCAAATCTGCCCACGTGGCACCCTGACTGGAATGCAGGGGCTATCGAAGAGAGTTTACTGGCCAGTTTGGGTCGCAAAGGCCGCGCGTTGCGATGAGGCAGCCGGCGTGATTGACGAGATCACGTCGCCCATCTGAAGGCGAATGTCCTCACGAAACTGTGCGATTGTGTGCGATCAAATTGGGGCAGATGGAAATCCAGTTGACACGGATGCGTTTCACCTGAAGCTTTTACTGGCGCAAAGGTGAAAAGAAACCTGGAAACGGACTCAGGTGAAGTCAAGACCAGCCGAATATTCGCTTTACAGTAGTTTAATCCCTGCATCGACCTCCTCAACGATGGAATATATACACGTAAGGCCATTCAAGCTCACGTCCACAAGAGAGATTAGTGAGTGCACTTTGCATCTGAAGGATACAAATACAATTAAGTGGATCGCGCCCAAAAGCAAAAACGATCCAATATCACTTGACACCATCTGTGACCAAGGCTGCGGGTCTTTTGTCAATCACCTCGTCTATAAGCCCGAAAGTGAGTGCCTCTGTAGGGCTCATGAAGCGATCCCTCTCCATGCTCTCAGCTGGAACAAGAAACAAAGCAGGTTACGGTACATAACACAGGCACCAGAAAAAAAAAAAAAAAAAAAAAAAATGGCTGGGTTGGCAACGGTTAAGTGACAAGCAGGCAGAACAAGCCTAGGCAACAGAAGGTAACAGCACTGGAATTTCGACACAGCTTCACTCACCAATCACATCAACCTCCTTCCCGGTGTGCTTAGCATAAAGCCCGTTCAGCCGGCCCTTGGTCTTGATAATCTCCTCTGCGTGAATGGCAATATCCGTGGCCTGCCCCTGCGCGCCCCCTGACGGCTGATGCACCATGAGCCGTGCGTTGGGTAAAGAGCGCCTCTGCCCCGCCTCGCCTGCTGCAAGCAGCAGTGTGGCCATAGAGGTAGCTTGGCCCACGCAGAGAGTGCTCACTGGGCACTGGATGTACTGGTAGTGGTGGTGGTGGGGGGGGGGGGTGGTAGGGCAGGAGAGAGGGGAAGAAGGTGCACCATGAGCCTCGCGTTGGGTAGTGACCGCCTCTGCCCCGCCTCGCCTGCTGCGAGCAGAAGCGTGACCATGGAGGCTGCTTGACCCACACATAGCGTGCTCACTGGACACTGGATGTACTGGTGATCGGGGAATGGGAGGGGAGCAGAGGGAAGGAAGAGGAGAAGGGAGAAGGCGGGAAAGGGAGAGGAGGGAAAGGGGTGGGGAAAGGAAGGAACCAGGGACCAGAGCAGCATATACAATGTTGATTCAATTAAGATGCTTCATATGCTGACCTGCACATTCATCCACCTGCACACTCATCCACCTGCACATTCATCCACCTGCACACTCATCCACCTGCACATTCATTCACCTGCACATTCATTCACCTGCACATTCATTCACCTGCACATTCATTCACCTGCACACCCACCTGCACACTCACTTGCCCATCACGTGCACACTCACCTGCATGGTGTCGTATATGGCAAGGCCTGCTGTCACCAGACCGCCAGGAGAATTTATGTACATGTACACCTGCGTGGAGGGGTAAAAACGCGTTATTATACGTCTCGGAACAAGTATACGTACACATACAGTCGGATAAATTACGTTTTTAAGGCTTGATCGACCAGGACTTACAGGTTTCTCGGGGTGTTCTGATTCTAGATACAGCAGCTGAGCCACCACCAGTGCCGCCGTGTCGTCGCCTATCGCGCCGTTCATGCACACGATCCGCTCCTTCAGCAGCCGCGAAAAGATGTCGAATGCGCGCTCGCCACGTGGCGTCTGCTCCACGACCATCGGGACTAGATTGTAGTACCGAGGGCTGCCGGTAAAGGACGACACGTCAGCGCCAGGGGAGGTCACGTGGGGAGAAATGACAGCTGGCATGATGTGCTGGTAGTTCGTGATTGGCTGAGGTCTGTGCCGCGTGGCCGCAGACGCGAGAAGCGAAGCTAGGCGGCGCGATGCCATGGGGGAGGTGGTCGACACTAGTGGTGATCTACGTCGAGGATACCTGGGCGATTGTCGCGGCACGCCGACTTGCGCTGCTCAGCGGTTGTGATGCTCAGCAGTGGCAGCTCGCTGGTTAGGCTGCGCAACCTGTCAGCAGCAGTGAAGGAGCAAAATGGTGCATTGGAATAAAAAACTAGGATCGAATATGTGACGGTGCGATTGTTGTGTTCATTGTTTTGAGGAGCGGAAATGCCCCGCGAGTGAATGACCTTATACAGGGTACAGCTGTGAAGCTTGGCGGCTGGCTTGACAATATCTAGAGACCTTTTGGTTCGGGAAAACGCTGGAAAGTATTTTGACCGCTCTGAAACGAGAAGAACCTACTCAGCCGGCTTACTTCTTGGAACATCCCCTGATTCTTAGTTCTTAGCACCCTAATCTTTTCAGGGTCCCTAACAACCCTAGTTTGACGTTTCGAGTCTCTCATAGAAGTTCCGCGATCTTACATCGACTCGTTTTGCTTCCCGCGTCACCTGCAAACCGAATCGCAAACATCCGTTGACCACATTACCTTCACGCGTCACGCGCCGGGCCGGGTAGGCCGCATCGCGCCATGAGCGCGTCGGCGATGGCGGCGGGTCAGCCGCAGTTCCGGTACTCGCAGCCACCCTCAAAGGTGCTGCACGTGCGCAACCTGCCGTGGGAGGCGACGGAGGAGGAGTTATCGGAGCTGTGCAAGCCCTTCGGCCGCGTCGTCAACACCAAGACCAGCGTCGGCGCCAACCGCAATCAGGCGTTCGTCGAATTCGTAAGCTCGTCGTGCTTCGCGTCGCGGTGTCATCATGGTGAAAATGGATATTGATTTTTTTTTTTAGTATACGTGCAGAATCCTGGTGTTCGCTTGTTCGAACTCTGCCTCCTCGCTGCGGACGTTTGCCTTGCATTCCGCTTCTTTCTGATAGCATCCGCTTTCCTTCGGATAGCATTTTTCTCCTTCCTGTTGGCTTTCGTGATCGGATTCCGCTTCTTCCTAATAGCATTCTCCTTTCTTATGATAACATTCCGTTCCTTCCTGATCGCATCCTCTTCTTCCTGACAGCGTTTGCTTTTTCCTGATAGCATTCCGCTTTTTCCTGATAGCATTCCTCTTCTTCCTGATAGCGTTCTGCTTCTTCCTGACGGCATTCCGATCTATCCTAATAGCTTTTTGAAATTTCAAACGGCAATCCGATTCTTCAATTCTCGCCACTGCTCCCGCGCAGGCGGATTTGAACCAAGCTATCGCCATGGTGTCATACTACGCGTCATCATCCGAGCCAGCGCAGGTCCGCGGGAAGGCGGGGTACATTTGACGCCGTGTACCTCATAATTCATGCTGCTCCCATTCCGTATGTGCTTCTCCTCCAGGCGGATCTGAACCAGGCGATTGCTATGGTGTCTTACTACGCGTCATCATCCGAGCCAGCGCAGGTTCGAGGAAAGGCGGTGTACCTGCAGTACTCGACGCGGCAGGAGATCACCACGTCCAACAAGACTGGCGATTCCTCCTCCGGGAATGTCCTGCTTGTGACTATAGAGGGGGTTGAGGCTGGCGACGTGACCATAGACGTGCTTCACCTGGTAAGCGTGCCTGTTAGTGGAGGTGTACTCGTGTGAAATTGTGTGCTTGTGCGTTATAAGGACATGCATGGCAACTTTCGGTCTTGATACGTGCAGGTGGAGTTTTCAGGTCTTTTTCTTCTGTTTGTCTCGTTCCTCTCTGCCGTTGGTGTTGTCGTCCGTCTCCTCCTCTTCTTCCTCCTCCTCCTCCTCCTCCTCCTCCTCCTCCTTCTCCTCCTCCTCCTCCTCCTCCTCCTCCCCCCCCCCCCTCCTCCTCCCCTTCGTTCTCCTCTCTCACTCCTTGTCCTTGATAAGCAAGCACTGGGATACCACAAGGCCTTAGGGTTTTTGCGCCCTTCGAAGGGCGTTCTGTTGTGCAGAGGAATTAATGAGCCGCCAAAAACCCTTTCCGTGTGCAGGCTTCTCTTCCTCTCACTCAAGTGAACGGCTAAGCGAGGAATGCGAATCCGAGCAAGATCCGTTCTAATTTCACCGTTTGTCCTCAGAACCTTTTCTGACCTGCCCGCCCTCCTCACCCTCACACCCTTGCCCTCCTCGCCCCCTTCACCCTCCCTAACCTTTTCTCCAACCCCCCTTTTCCAACCCAACCCAACCCAACTCAACCCAACCCATCCCAACCCAACTTAACTCAACCCAACCCCCATTGTTTCTGTGCTAATCGGTTTCAGGGAGTCTGCACCTCCGCTCGTTGTGCCACTCGTAGCTGGGAAGCTTAGCACTGCTGAAATAGCAGCTTTTCTATGTGTCATATGTGCTCGTGTATTTGTGCCTTCTTGTTGCATGCTTTCCTAGGCTTCTGAAATTGAATATTGCTGATTCATAGGTTCTCAAAGCATTTCCGTTGTTGTTCTGTTGGCTTTTCTTTTTTTCCGCTTTAGCAGTTGTGTCTTCATTCTTCCTCGCATTCAGCTGTATGTAGGTGCTTCCGTGTGTCAGAGTTCTTACTAGGTATGAACTGCTTCGAATGGTGCATAATTTTCCAGTCTGTGTTGGAGATATACATTCTTCCCCCACTCCGTGTCCTGTTGCAACCTGCCCTGTGCGCGTTGATACACAGGTCTTCTCAGCATTCGGCTTCGTCCAGAAGATTGCAACGTTTGAGAAGAGTGCCGGCTTTCAGGTCTGTGACAGTGACAGAGAAGATTGCACTCTTGGACACACACTCTGTTACAGGCTTAAAGCCCAAACCACCAACATCTTTCGCTCTAGATTGGTCTTGCCTTGCCAGCCCCAGACGACAAGAGGGCTTGAGTTGAGATCCATCCATCCACATGCCTGTACGCTACAGGCGGCCAGGGGTGCGCCAACAGGTGTCACAAGCACCTGCTGGCGGAGCCCTGTTGAATTTGAATTGACCCCCGTGGGTCTGACCCACCTTGGGTTGCTCCGTTTACTCTCACGCCAATGGCTCGTGCAGGCATTGGTGCAGTACGGGGTCCCAGAGACTGCCAACAGCGCCAAGACCAAGTGTATGTTGTGCCCTTTCATGTTGACTTACGACACGTTTGACCAAACCCTCTCCTCCCATTCCCACGGCTCGTGCAGGCATTGGTGCAGTACGGGGACCCGGAGACTGCCAACAGCGCCAAGTCTTCATTGGACAGCAGGAGCATTCCCAGGTGGGTAATCTCAAATGGGTTGTCTCGGATGGGTACTCTCAGGTGGGCATTCCAAGGTAGGCATTCTTAGCGCACCTTCTGATGTTCCACGCCTGCCTCCTACCATTCACACTATAACAATATGATTCTGAGAATATTCAAATGAAAAACAGGTCTATCTTACTGGTCACCATTGTACAATTTTCTGTTTTTCCCACCCCCCTCCCACCAGCTACCTGCTCCCAGAGCACGTGCAAACCTGCAGTCTGCGCATCTCCTTCTCAGCCCACACGGACCTCAACATGAAGTTCCAGAGCCACATCTCTCTCTCCTCCCGTCCCTTGGTCTCTGTGTTCATGCACCATCTCCCCCCTCCCCCCCCCGCCCCCCAGCTACCTGCTCCCAGAGCATGTGCAGGCATGCAGTCTGCGCATCTCCTTCTCAGCCCACACGGACCTCAACGTCAAGTTCCAGAGCCACCGCAGCCGCGACTACACCAACCCCTACCTCCCCGTCTCCTCCTCCGCTACTGACGCTGGCTTGCAGGTGCGGGATAAAAGAAATACTTGCATCAGGTACAGTACAGGTAGAGACTACAGCAACCCTACCTCCCTGTCTCCTCCTCCGCCACTGATGCTGGCGTGCAGGTACTCCGTATAGGCCCTGAAAAGAAAAAGCCAAGGGCTGAACTAGGTTCAGCTAGACAGGCAGGCGTGCAGGTAGAGAGGCAAGCGTGCAGGCACACATGCAGTTTCTCCTTTTCCCCCTTCCCCACCCATCTCACGCTCACTTTACCCTCCTTGTCACCTCGTCCCATGGCCCGTGGAACACAGGAATGTTCCTGGTTTTTATCCCTCCTTTTTCCCTGTCCTTCCTCAATTATTCTTACTTCTATGGCCTTACCAGCTCACCCCAGGGCCTGTAGCAGCAGTGAAGGGCGAAGCGGGAAGCAACGTGCTGCTGGCATCTATAGAGAACATGCAGTACCCCGTCACCATGGACGTGCTGCACACCGTGAGTCACCGCTTTGCACCGTGAGTCACCGCTTTGCACCGTGAGTCACCCCTGGCCACCGTTAGGCACCGGTTCACACCGCCAGGCACCACTTCACACCATGAGGCATCCCTGCATGCTGTAAACGTCTCATACTGTGACTGCGTGCTGCTGTCGACCATACGGAACATGCAGTCCCCGTCACTGTGGCCGTGCTCCACACCGTGAGTCACCCCTTCACACCGTGACTCACTGCTTTACACCGTGAGACACCCCTGCACTCTGTTGACAATTGTCCCGCCCCGCCAGGAATTTCTCATTCCCTGTGGAGGGCACAAGCACGGTCATGTTAGAAGTTTACGTACCCTCTTCCCACTCTCTCTATTCCCCCTCCCACTCCTTCTTTCTATCCTTCCTCCCACTCTTTTCACTCTCTCTTTGCATCCCATGCCACCAGGTATTCTCAGCATACGGCGCGGTGCAAAAGATTGCCATCTTTGAGAAGACTGCCGGATTCCAGGCGCTTGTCCAGTTTCCAGGTTCGTGCCCAGGCTGGTTCCCAGGTTCGTCCCTCTGACATCCAGGTTGGGAATCAGGAGTTTGTAGGTTCGTACAAGGGTGCTTGGTACAGTGTTTCTTTGTAATGATCTGCGCCACACCACACCCCATCCCATCTCACTCTCCCTCCGTTTCAATTCCCCCACCCTTCCATGCCACAGACGTAGCAGCAGCCACATCAGCCAAGGATGCTCTGGAAGGCCACTGCATCTACGAGGGGGGCTACTGCAAGCTGCGCATCTCCTTCTCCCGCCACACCGACCTCAATGTCAAGGTATGTGGTGAGACCATGAGGCAAGTTGGGTGGTGTGGCAAGGTGGGTGGTGTGGCAAGGTGGGTGGTGTGGCAAGGTGGGCAGTGTGGCGAGGTGGGCAGTGTGGCGAGGTGGGCAGTGTGGCAAGATGGGCAGTGTGGCGAGGTGGGTGGTGTGGCAAGGTGGGCAGTGTGGCGAGGTGGGCAGTGTGGTGAGGTGGGCAGTGTGGCGAGGTGGGCAGTGTGGCGAGGTGGGTGGTGTGGCGAGGCAGCATTTTGCTCGGGTCCAAGTACGGAGAAAAACTTTTCCATTCTTCGTCGCGCTCTTATTCTCTAGACCCGAGCTGCCCCGCACTTGTTCTCGCCCTCCCTCCCTCTCTTCCCTCTCTCTTTGTTTAACGCCCACCCTTCCTTCTCGTCGCTCTCTCCTTCCTGTCATTCTTCTCTCTTCCGTTTGCCCTACCTTCCCCTCCAGGCCAACAACGATCGCAGCAGGGACTTCACTCGCCCAGACCTCCCCACAGTCGCCCCCATTCCTGCTCCTTCTACCACTGCCACTACCACAGCTGGTATCCTCTCTTCTTCCACCACCACCACCACTGGCGCTGCCACCCCCTTCACCACGCCATCTGCACCCATCCTCTCCTCCTCCCCATACAATCTCGCTGCCCCTCTCGCCCCCTCTACCGCCCCACCTGTCCTCCCCACTCCCGGTGCCCCTGCTCCCTACTACCCCACCTCTTCCCCTGCCGCCCCTCCCTCCTCTGCGCCACCCATTCTCGGCCACCAAAACCGCCCAGCAGTCTTTCCTGCCACCCCTCCCAGAGGGCCCCCTCCCCATGCCCCTCCTCCTCACGGCCCCCCTTTCCACGGTCCCCCTCCCCCCCACGCCGGCCCTCCCCACGGCCCCCCTCCCCATACCCCCCCTCCTTACAATCGAGGTCCCCAACCCGGCCCCCCTCCCCACGGCACTCCCCCCAGAAATTTCCCCCCCAGCCCTTACGGTCCCCCTGCCCCCCCCCAAGGTTCCCCCCAAGGTCCCCCTTTCCGCGGCCCTCCCCCTCCCGGGCCTTACCCTCCCGGACCTCCTGGCGGGCCTGGTGGTCCAGGGCCTGCCGGGCCTGGTGGTCCAGGGCCTGCCGGGCCTCCGTACGGTCCTCCTCGGCCCGGTGGTCCACCCCCGGGGCAGTTTTACCCTCCCCCTGGTGGGCCTCCCCCATATGGCCCTCCCCGTGGTCCCCCTCCCCACATGCCTGGGCGGGGTCCCCCTCCCCCTATGATGGGGGGGCCCCCTCCCCCAGGTGGCCCTCCCCCTGGCCCTCCCCACCCCGGGCGCCCTCCCCCGCAGCCATTCCCCCCAGGCACTGGTCCTCCCCCCCCCGGCATGGGGGGAGGCCCTCCTCCCCCTGGGGTGGCCCCTCCTCCTTACATGGGGGGAGGGGGACCTCCCCCTGGTCCCCCAGGTATGCCTCCCCCTCCTGGCATGGCAGGGGGGCCTCCCCCTCCTGGGTACCCAGGGGGTCCGCCTCCCCCAGGCATCCCGCCCCCGCCTGGATATGGTCCCCCTCCCCCTAGATATGGACCAGGAGGACCGCCTCCTCCTGGCTACAGATATTAGATTTTAGAGTCGAGGGTGGCATTGCTCAAGTAGCAACTGTTAGCAAGATTGCCTGCATAGATAAGTTTCCTTGTTTGGCTTGTAATATCATTTTACTGATGGTGCCATATCCCTCTGAGACAATGCTCCGATGCATTGAGAAAACTGAATGAACATAGATTGTATGGAAAAACAATATTTGTTGCATGTTCTGCTTTTATTTAGTATTTTTAGTTTTCCCTCAGGGCCACGTCTTGGTGACGTGTATACCCCATCAACCCAGCGCATTCCAGCGACTTGGCAACCAAAATGTATTGATTTGGACAAAAAAAGGTGCCAGCTGGGCAAGTAAGCGCGCTGCTGGCAGACAATTCATCAGCAGTTTCGAGATTACCAATTGTGTTCAAACGATTGGCGGGCAAAACGTCATATTGTAACCGTTTAAAGCCCGCGTCCCAAATTGCGGGCCGCGAGGGTCAAGTTTTTAAAACTTGACGAAGTTGAGTGTCCAAGCTTTTGAAAGTCACGCACTTGCAATTTGGGACTTTCGAAGACAGATTCACTCACCAGGGGGAAAACCGAGGGTTGGCTGGGTCTCGGGAAAAAAACGAACCTAGACGAAATCGGAAACTCTCGCCAAAGCCCACACCAGAAAAACTCCCTCTGGTCAACTTTTAAAAGCATGAACAATTTGGGCCGCCGGCTTTAACATTGAACACATTGTATCTGAAATAAGGCATTGTCTGTCTCATTCCAAACAAAATGCCGATCGATCATCCTTTCAAGTGTACTTTCCTGCCCCAAAAGGCTCCACAATATCGCACAATCTCCCAACGACGTGTCATCTGCGGTGGCCAGGTAGGATTCAACAAATTCCCTTCCGCAATCACCGCATTTCGCTTATCATCGAATGGCGCGCAAACAAGCATCCCCTCTCTCAACTCAGCTCATCTCAATCGATGAGCAGATTTCCCGGCAGCAGTCAGGTTGACTCGAAGAAATATAATGGCTCCCATTCGTTGAAGGCATCAGTTTCTCTCATCATACCTCCCATTCTTGTGCTCAGTTGCGAGTGTTGCATAAAAGCTGTCAGTTGCTAGTGTCGCATAATTACTGTCTTTCTTTGGTTTCATTCCTTTCTCGCATCTTACTTGGTGCGGTTATTAATTTCCTCAACGTAAATCAGATTCCGAGGAAACAGGTCTCATTTAGTTAGGGAATGCGTGAGCAGGCAAAATAATTTCCTCCTCGAACCGTAAATTCTAGTTTATTTCCACTTTTAAGTTGAAGCGCCCTTTTAACAAGCCATGGCGCTGTGTTCGTGTCCCAAGGCGCTGACGAGCAAGGTCGTGTACGCGGATGAGAATTCCGGCCACGTGCATCTCTGCTTGCCCTTCTACGTCGACGTTTGCGGCGAGTGCCACCTCTCTCTATATCGCGGATGCTGCTGCAGCGGCGCGCGCACGCTGCACAACCACCCCGCGGAGATTGAGGAGCGGCGTGAGCTGATGGGGAAGGTGCTGGCGGAGCTGATGGCGCGCGCGCAGAAGCGGCGGAAGATGAAAGCGCGCGAGGCCATCGCCAAGGTTCAAGCGGCCAAGGAGGCCAGAATGCAACACGTGGACAAAGGTACGACCGTTGATTATTTTTTAGATTTGAAATGAAACTACGGTAAAATCAGGCGATGAATTACCGTAATTTTGATTGACGTGGAGAACGGGCGTGGTTGTTGGATGAACTTAGCCGCACCTGAAATGTCGTACCGTTTTCATCATATTTCTTTCCGTTGAAAGAGTATTCATCATGTTTCTCCATTCCCCATGCCGCGAATGCCAGACGCGTTGATGAGGGCTCTGTCGAAGCTCGACGAATACCCGCCCACCAAGGCTCACGCGGTTCACCCCCACGCGGTACGCACTATCTCGAGACTGACACGCCTTTCACCTATCCGTTTCTTGCCTCTCATTTCCATCTGCGTCGTGCATAATCTCTCTCTCCCTTTACCTCCTCTTCCTCCCTCCTTACCTGGCCCTGTTCTCTCCCACCCACCACTTTCGCCCTTCCGTATCTGTCTTACTTTTCTCTCCCTCACCCGCCACTGCCGTGCCTTTTCGTGATGCAGCCGAGGGAGGCCGTTACGCGCTGCTGGTCGCCCGCCATGGAGTGCAGGGCGCAGCGCATGCGCGTGCAGCAGCCACGTGCTGTGCACTAATTGGCCATCACCTGCTGTGGTTCCTGTCTACACTCTAGTTGCTCTCGGTTACTGTAGATGCTTGCAGGTACCATTCATACTTCCCGGTGCTGCATTGGATGTGATGTGCAGAATTCTACCTTCTGTACATAGCGGTACATGTGTACATTCACCGTGGCATGGCATCTGTACACTGCTTTATTGAGATTTTATCACATGTTTCAACACTATCCATTCATTGTACCATAAAAAATGGTCTACGGTATGTATCTGGATCCACTTACTCTGCTTCCATCCCTGGTGCCACTACTCTGGTACAACGACAACAAAATCACTTGATACCATCACACCATTAAGTATGGCATTGTACCATTGCACACATATACCTAACATGACATCACACCATCTCAACTCAACTCATCGCCCTTCACGACAAGGCAAAGGAGTCCAGAATGTGTTTCAGCAGCGGCCTGCCTTCAAAGAAAAAGGCCTCAGTGCCCCGCACCCTGCAAACATGCACAGCACCGTTTGATACTCCTGCACACAACAGCAGATGCTGAATATCCGCCTTGTGATCCCCCAGGTCCTCCGGATGCACCACCAGCTCATACCGGAAAAACTTTCCCCCGGCAGAAATTAATTCTTCTGCCCAGATGACAAATGCCGGGGCAGCTCGGGCAGCCTGGGAAGTTTGCGAGCGTGCCCGGGCAAGGCTGGGCATGGACGGGAGGGCAGCCTGGGAGGTCTGCTCTCTGCCACTCATCCCCGAAGGATCGTTTCTCTGACTGGAAGATTGTGAGAGCCGTTCTCGTCCTGAGCCTTGCCGTTGGGAGGGGGGTTGCTGGGATGGGTGAGAGGATGATGGGTCGGTGGGTGGTGATGTTGCGGGGCTTTCAAAGATAGAAGAGAACGTTGCATCGCCTTGGATGTCGCTGCCATTCTCAGCAGTATCTGTAACCGAAGCAACAGCAGCTGCAGCAGCAGCAGCGGCACCAGCAGTGATAGCAGCAGCAGCAACAGCAGCAGTAGCAGCACCCATAGCCGTAGCTGCAGTGGCAGTAGTGGTAGCAGAGGCAGGAGCAGCAGGAGAAGGCTGGTAAGGAGCAGCAGCAGATGCTGCTTCAGGCAGACTGAAGGACACTGATCTCTTAACCCCTTCAGCCAGAACCAGAGGCTTACTAGTGCCCGCACCACCAGCCTTGATGCTGCTTCTGCTGCCGCCCCCACTGCTGCTACCAACCTTGGTTCCCGCACTCACGCCAGCTGCAAGTTCCGGGCAGATATTATCCCATTCAGTCAGCAGAAAATTCATCGGGTCCCCGAATTCGGTCAGCGACGAAATCCCCGACGGGCGGACCGAGAAACAAATCACGTCGAGCTCTGCTACAGGATCGCCGTCTATAGTCACATCCGGGTCACTGTATTTCACCAGAACATGGTCTTCAAACGCGGATGGAAGCACCTCTACCCAGTTCCTCGGAACGCTTAGCAAAAATCCAAGACCGCGGTAGGAAAAGCAGGGAATTCCCTCCATTGCCTCCTCCTCGTCGACACTTAGCTGCTCGGATAAGTGCTGGTCTCTAAACGCCCTGCCGCCGAAGAGTGGTTTTAAGTACTGCGTGTCTAGCCATTTGAACCACTTGTGGAGGCCGGAGGGGGGTCCGAAAGAAAGTGATTGCGATTTCTGCATGTATAAGAGGTCGTTGAGGCTGCGGCCGCCTATAAGGGGGACGTCTAGAGAGGGAACAGTGCGGATGGAATGGTGCCCTGATTCGCCCTCTGCTTCCGCTGTGCCTGTTTCAGTGTGTGGGTGTGAATGTGTGTGTGTCCATGCGTGTGCATGTGGCTGTGAGTGTGAGTGTGGGTGTGAGTGTGAATGGGAGTGTGGAGGTGAGCGTGAGGGAGGGCTAGTATACGGGGGACTAGACATAGAGCCATGTGCGTGGCTGGGAGTGTGTGAGGGGGCGGCAGAGAGGCCTAGGGCGCGAAGAAGAGGACAAGTGGAGCCGCCCATGACGACGGTGGTGAGCACAACGACAAAGAGGGTGGTGGAGATGATGGCAGGGTTGCGCTGCGGCATGTTGAGAGCGAGGGCGAAGGCAATGGCGCCCCTTAGCCCGCTGAGCCACATCATTAGAATCATGTTGGTGGGGATCTTGTTGGATCTGGAGTGGGAAAATAGGGGAATGCCCGGGAACGTAGAGAAGATGAAAAGTAGGGGAATGTGGGTGCAGGGGAACGCAAGGGGGTCCATAGCAGATGCAGGGGCAGAGAAGTGAGTCCAGGCATGGTGACCCGGGATGAATCAGGCGTGAATAGGGGTTGACGAGAACAAGCAGAGGGGATAGAATCAGGAGAAGAGGTTTACGAAGCAAAGTTGTTGATTCAAGTTGACTAGAAAAAGTCACAGTATGAGCGTCATCAATAAACCGATAACCGATAATTTTCAGTGGATAAATTATAGTAGCTAGGGTGCAATTCTGCGATTTCGGCAGAGGCGAAGGCGGCTTTCTGGACTGATACGGAGGGGCTTACTGAGTGCAGTTGGAGAGGAACGAGAGAGGGAAGACGTTGAAGGCTCGAGATAGGAGGCAGAGAGGAATGGCGGAGAGAAGTAGACCCCAGTCAATCACATGCTGCATCACCACCACCTGCCAGGGCGAGAGATGGTGTGAGACATGGCAGAGAGGGATGGGGATATAGATGGTATGAGAGGAATGGCGGAGAGGGATGGGGATACAGATGGTGTGAGGGGAATGGCGGAGAGCAGCAGACCCCAGTCGATGACATGCTGCATCACCACCACCTGCCATGTTAGAGGTTTAGCGATCGCATGGTGCATTGCAGAGAGGGATGGCGATATGCATGGCGAACATCTCTGCCATGAGGGCTTCACTGGAAATGATCATAGATAAAACTGGTCACAGCGCACCGCTCACCTGCATTTTCAGCGGGTCAGCACACCACTCACCTGCTGCCTGCATCCCCAGGTGAGAGTTATTTAAGATTTACCTGCATGCCCATGTGAGAGTTATTTAAGATTTACCTGCATGCCCAGGTAGGCAAAGACGAACATCTCGGCCATGAAGGAGAGCGCTTCAAACGCATACTTGCTGCTGATCTTGGACGCATGTGAGATGTTGTAGTACCTGCAGGTGGTAACATGGTAACAGCGTCATACCTGAATATTTAAATATGTGCATGGTATGATGCCTCGGAAAAAGAGCGCAACGATGCCAAAAAGCAGAGATGAGCACGAGGGAGGTGGTAGAAAATGGTTGGCTGGTTGCACTGAAGGGAATGACAACACCATAATGCAAAGTGCGCTGCACAGGAAGTTCAACCCTGTGCCCATTAAATAAACACTGGCACTGCCCTACCTACCCATATAACACCTGGGGTACCATACCCGTAATGTGCATTGCAGATGCCACAGAAGAAGAGCGCCATGATGCCGGATAGAGAGAGCATCTCAGGGACGGAGTAGGAGAGGTAGCCCGAGACGAGCACGAGAGAGAGCTCGAACTTGGCTGCCTCTGCCCTCAAGGGGAATACAAAACACCCACCTGTGATGTGCATTGCATGGGGAATACAAACACCATGCACACCTGTGACCCGCCTTGCATAGGAAGCGAGAGGGCGTACCCATAGTGTGCATTGCAGATGCCGCAGAAGAAGAGAGCCATGATGCCGGATAGAGAGAGCATTTCAGCCACGGAGTAGGAGAGGTAGCCCGAGACGAGCACGAGAGAGAGCTCGAACTTGGAGAACTCGCTGTTGATGTCGATGAATCGGAGTATGAGGGCGCAGAGGAGGGACACGAGGATGCCTAGCAGGATGGAGCCCACGCTTATGCCCAGAAATTGGACTGTTGGGTTGGGGGAAGTGAAAGGGGGGCAGGAAAGGAAGGGCGGCAGGGGAAAGTGGGGCATCAGGGAGTGAGAGAGAGTACCAATGGCGGTAGCAATGCTGGCCATGGAGAAATGCTGGTTGGTGAAGGAACGCGAGTTATGTTCTTTCATGGATTGATATATGAATGCGAGAACGTACCAATGGCAATGGCGATGCTGGCGATAGAGAACTCCTGGTTGGTGAAGGATGCAAATTTGAGTTCTCGCATACAATGACAGATGTACACAAAAACACACCTATCGCAGTGGCAATGCTGGCCATAGAGAACTCTTGGTTGGTGAGGGATGTGAGTTATGTTCTTGCATGGATGGATAGATGCATGTGAGAGAACGCACCTATGGCAGTGGCGATGCTGGCCAGGGGAACTCCTGGTTGGTGAAGAAGCAGGTTGAGGTTCGTGCATACAATGCCAGATGAATGTGAGAACGTACCTATTGCAGTGGCAATGCTGGCCATAGAGAACTCCTGGTTGGTGAAGGAGGCGAAGGTGCGGAAGAGCACGATAGAGACGGCGTCGTTGACAAGGCTCTCTCCGAACACCAGGTTGTAGAGCAGCGTTGGTGCCTGCACGTCTGCCACGCGGCAAGGCCAGAAAAGACGGGGAAAAGGTGTGAAGGAAGCAGGGGAGAAGGAATGTCCCCTGACTCATGACTCATGACTAATGTCCCATAGTCAATTAATGTTTTCAGTTAATGTCTCATGACTAATGTCTCATGACCAATGTCTCATGACCAATGTCTCATGACCAATGTCCCATGACTAATGTATCATGACTCATGTCTCATGACTAGCTTCTCACGACCAATGCCTGGCGACACGGGGATACCTTGCAGGATGGAGAGGGTAGCGACGGGGTCAATGGCGGAAATGAGCGATCCGAATATGAGTGACTCGAGGAGAGGCGAATCTGACGTCATGTGGGTCACAATGCCAGCTCGGACGAGGGAGTACGTGGCAAGGCCGTACACCAGCGTGGATATGATCGTTCCCACCACAGCAAAGAGGGTGATGGTCCAGAAATTGCGGAAAAAATCCTGCCAGGCAACCAAAGAAATGTCAGTGAAAGTGGAAACTCGGAAGTAGTCGGATCACCAAAAGCTAGAATTCGACCACAATTATCTACTCAAGGTTGAGCCTGCTCAAGGTGACTGGTCGACTAAATGCTGACATGCAAGCATACTGAGAGCGATCCTGACTGAAACCTTTTCCAAGAGTCACGTAAATGCTACGTCATTGCCGTACTTTTTTCTTCAAGGCGTATCCGGCATTGAAAATAATGATGGGGAGGAGGCCGTAGAAGAAGATCTCCGGGCTGAAGGTGAATGCCAGATCGTCCTCTAGGATCAGCGACAGCACGCCGAACACCATTCCCAGCACCAGCGCCGCCGCTGCCATTCGATAAGCGCAAATTCATTAATCAGATGATTTACAACTTGCCGAATTTGAAGGGGTTTTGGATAGGGTGTGGGTGGTGAAGTGAATTCGAGTGAATTTGTGAAGCGAGAGAAATGTTTGGGATGAGAGGAATTCAGGAAAGTGCCGTGCCTCGCGTTATCCCTGATAGTAGGCTCACAGGATTCAGGGAAGTAGACCCAGTGGTGTTTCTTAGAGATGTAAGCGACGAGCATGGTGGTGGCCATCAGGAAGGAGCACGCGAGAATCTCCGACGACGCGCCCTCTGACAGCACCAGCGACACGCTCGCTGCTGCGCGTCCCACATTTCCTGCATTTCCCGCAATATTCGCGGTTTCAGTGATTCCCGCGATCCCCGCAGGATCCATGGTCGACTTAATCATCGTCGCAAGGTCACACTAACTCGTCTATAAATATCAGAATTCAGGCATGGCCACTTCTCATCAGGCGAAACGAGCGGGCGACACAGCAAGAAACCTCTGCATTCTGTCGTCTGGATGACACCTTGATATTAGCTGCCTGTCGAAGTCACACCTTGATATTGCTCTAGCTGTGGCTGGACAGCAATTTCTGACCAGACATGGTTGCCTTGGGGATGTCATCCGCTGTCCTCGTTAAAGATATGAGGGGCGGGCGTATCAAGAAATCCCGTGTATTCCTGCACTGGTATCGGGTTTGGCGTATTGCATTTTCCACCCCATCATAGTGAATCATGCAAACTTTCGCATATTCCAAAAGGTGGACTGTACTCATTGTTGCTAATGGCCCACACCTGGCCCCTATGGTATCAACCATTATGGTGTTGACAATAAAGTCAATATATAGTAGTAGCTGGAAGATGTTTTTAGCAAAACAAATCAACTTTCTGCACCATTTCTCTACAAACGCTTCTTTATTTCATCATACCGTACTACCCCGGATAGTAGCGCATATGCGCTTATAATAAATTCATTTTTGTAATTGAGTAACGGCCATAAGCGCCGGCGCTTTTATAAAGGCAAAACTGAATTTCAATGTAAATGATATCATTCTGAAGCCCTCGATAAGGCGAATACAACACTGTACCATGCGCGCGGGGTCGTGCATGGAATGACAGCGAAACTTGCCACGGTTCGATTTCCCACCGCACAAAACCCGTCCCGATGCAACGCACCTGCCAGCGCTGATGCAAAACCTGCCGTGCGGCCCAATCAGGTTGGCATGCGCTGCCAGGCAGGAGCATCTCGGCAGAACCATCCAGAACGTGATGGAATCTGCCGTGCCAGCGCAGCATGGATGGTGCCCCCAACCCTCCTCTGCGGGTTGGGGCAGGGGTGTACTCGTCTCTCATCGACGAGGACCCCGAGCCACAAACCAGAAGGGGTCCCCTTCAATCTCCCATTTCAACACCCAGGGTTGCAGTTTTTTATCCAGTCTTCTTGTTCTCGCCCGCCTGGCTGCGGAAGCCATGGCGGAATTCACACGCACTCATTTTCTCTTCAAGAAAAAACCTTCCAGTAGGCCCGCTTACCGTGTTACAGCTGACGGGTGGTATAGCCGCATACCTCCAGACCCTCCAGAGCCACCACAGCCTCCTGCGCCTCCTGCGCCGCCTGCTCCTCCGGCTCCTCCGGTGCCTCCGACTCCCCCTGCTCCTCTTGTTCCTCCATCTCCTCCGTGTCCGGTGGCCCCTCACATCGACAACCACCCCGTGCTCACGCTCCTGCTCCCATCGGCGTTCGACGAGTATCTGTCGGAACCGGATTATGACAAGGGCCCCGATGTTGACGTACCCGCTCCAGCGCCGGCACCACGTTGGGGCCAGCCAGAAGATTTCACGTGAGACGAATCTGCAGTCGGCGCTGACGACGACGTGCAAGACGCCGAGGAAGATAGGCGCGCTGAGGGCGACGCCGGCGCCGAGGGTGGCACTGAGGCCGACACCGAGGCCGCTACTGAGGCCGGCACTGCTGAGGATCTGTTTCCCGAGGGTGCGCCGGGCGGTGACGACGACGACGGCGTCGAATACTGGTCACGCGATGGCCTCCCCGAGAAACTCCCGATACCAACTTATCCTCCACGTAATCGAAAGCGACCTCACCCTTCTTCACAGAACCGTGATTCTCGCCCCCCCTCTCCCAGGCACAAGCCCAACGACCACAAGCGCCAGGCCTATACTGCCGCCGAGAAGTTGAAGTGGGTCGCGCAGCTGGATGTGGCGGTGTCGGTGCGCGCTCTGGCTCGCGAGAATGGCATCCACCGCAAGTGCCTCGCCAACTGGAAGCGTGCCGCTGATTTCCTCGAGGAAGCCCGCTCTGCCAGGTGCCGCATGCACGGTCGCGGCAGGGCGTCGTGGTACCGCCCGATGGAGATCAAGGTGTATGAGCGACTGCTCGACTGGCAACGCAAGGGAACTGCGGTGTCCGTCGGCCGCCTGCAGGAGTGGTCCCGGGAGTTCATGAAGATTCTCTACCCCCTAGTGAAGTGGAAAGGGAGCCAACGGTGGTCGGACCGGTTCCGTCGGCGGTGGAATCTCAGCGTGCGAATGAAGACGAAGGTCGCCCAGAAAACCGCCGCCCGTAAGAATCATTTTTATTCTCTATGCCATGTGTATGCACTTGTTACTCACTAACCGTAACTGTGCTCAACCGCAGATGTCGCGGAGCAGTGCAAGAAGTTCTGGCAATTCGTCCGTGACAAGCGTCGGGAGCGCGGCATCGAGACGACGTGGATTATCAACGCCGACCAGACGCCGCTGTGGCTGGAGATGCCCGCCACCACTACCATCGATCAAACTGGTGTTCGGTCGGTGCCCATCAGGAGCGCGGGGTACCAGAAGGAGCGCGTGACCGTGATGTTGGCGTGCACGGCGGACGGGATGAAGCTGAAGCCGTGGGTTTTTTTCAAGCGGAAGACCGTGCCGAAAGGGGTGTTCCCGCCGGGTAAGTCATGATTCTTGTTTGTATGCTTTTCATCGGTCCTGTTTTTTACGAGAAACTTACAGAAGCTTCTTTGTTATGCAGATGTGGTCGTGGCGTGTCATGAGAACGGCTGGATGGACGCAGAAGGCGTCATACGATGGCTTGAGGAGAGCGTCAAGCCCTTTTTAAAGCCTGGGTTCGGGAGGCATGCGCGGAGCTCGATGGTCGTACTGGACTCGTACCGCGGTCACCTCACTGAGGGGGTGAAGGAGAAGTTTCGCGAGCTCAACTGCGTGCCGGCGATCATCCCGTCTGGCTGCACGGCGGAGGTACAGCCCCTCGACGTCTCCATCAACAAGAGCTTTAAGGCGAGCGTCCGCCAGCAGTATCAGAAGTGGTTTCAGGAAGAATGCCAAGAACAGCTAACCAGAGCAGGTATGATAGGCACGCGAGTCCCTATCTTACCGTAGATGATTGTCCCCCCTTTTGTTGCGCTAACTAAATATTGTGTGATTCTGTTGGTACAGGGAACTTGAAGAAGCCACCCCCAGAGGTGGTCGTGAGGTGGATCTCACGGGCCTGGAAAGCAATGCCCGCGGACCTCATCAAGCGCGCCTTCCTCACATGTGGCATCAGCAACGCGCTTGATGGCAGTGAGGACGGCCTCGCCATGGTGCACTGGCGGAGCCAGCTGACCGCGGAGGTGGACGTCGATGATTCCATCATCGCCGATGGCTTCTTTGGCAACAACTGCCAGGTGTGAAGAAATGAGGAATGGTTGAACTAGGAAAGTGTGAGATACAAATATGAAAGCTGTACCCCTTAGTGTCTACCCCACTACAGCCTACATAGGCTAAGGCATATAAGTCTGACACACCCCCATAGGCAAAGTGGGGGAGAACTAGGGGTCACAAGACCAGTCAAGCAAAGCAAAGCAAAGCAAAGCAAGCTCAGGGTGGATCACAACGTCACCACACAGTCTGAGCACAGGTTCAAAGGCCACAAGGCCAGTTCACATGCAAGTTCATATATAAAGGTAAACAAGCAAGTGCAGGTATATAGAGATCACAGTACAAGCAAAGTCAAGAGGTAAGCAAGTGAGGCCAAGTAGGCACAAGACCTAGCATAGTACAGAAGCGCTGATGATCACAAGGCTGAAGTGCCTTGGTAAAGATATCAGCAGTGTTGGCCTGAGAGGCCACGTAGGCAAGGCGCAGCTGACCACGCTGCTGCAGCTCACGAGCAAGGAAGTAGCGAAGAGCAATGTGCTTCGTTCTGTGCTCCAGTCTGTGCTCCCGACACAAGGCCAGCATGGCCTTGTTGTCTACGTACAGAACTGGAGGGGAACGAGGCGGCTCTCCCAGGTCAGTCAGCAAGTAGATGAGCCAGCGTAACTCCTGCGCAGCCATGGCCCCTGCGTAGATCTCAGCCTCACAGCTGGAGCTGAGAACAGAAGACGAGCGAGTAGACCGCCACGAAACCGAGCCGGAACCTAGGCTGAAGGTGTAACCCTGTGACGACCGCTGCGTAGCCAGGTCGTCAACCCAAGACGCGTCTGCGTGACCAGTGAGGACCACTGGACTCCGCCCTCCAAGCACTAGCCCCAAGCCTGAAGTACTGCACAAGTAGCGCAACACCCTCTTCGCTGCAGCCATGTGCTCTGGTCGGTGTCTCCCAGGAGCAACATAGTGTGCCAGAATGCTCAGAGGGTATGCTAGGTCAGGTCGAGTGCAGGTCATCAGGTACATGAGGCAGCCAACAAGCTCTGGGTACGGGCCACTCGGCTCTACGGACTCATCCGAAGGCAGAGCTGAGAGCGAGTGGCGAGTAGACAGAGGAGTGGCCTGAGGCGAGGAGTACGTGAAGTCGAAGCGCTGAAGGACCTGCTACACCATGTGTGACTGAGTCAAGGTAATGGTGCGGCGTGCTCTGTCCCGGGTGATCTGCAAGCCAAGATAGCTGCGCAGTTCACCCAGGTCTGTGCACGTGTGTCTCTTCTGCAGCTCGGACTTCACGTGGGCGAGTCCAGCAGTGTCAGCAGTGGCAAAGACCAAGTCGTCGACGTACACGAGGATGTAGAACGGCGGCAAAGAGGTGTCGGTGCGCAGAAACAGCGACGGGTCGGCTGTAGAAGGAGCAAACCCAAGAGCCGCAAGAGTAGTCCTCAGTGTGTCGTGCCACTCACGGGGCGCCTGGCGGAGACCGTAGACTGGCCGCCGGAGGCTCCACTGGGTACCAGGGGGAAACGACCCAGTGAAGCCAGGTGGGCGGCGCAGCCAGATCTCCTCGTGGAGGCTGCCCTGAAGGGAAGCTGTGCTGAAGTCAAGAGAGTGAAGCTCGTAGTCACGCTGAGTGGCAACGTGCAGCAGCACCCGAAGAGTGATCATCTTCGCGGTGGGAGAGAAGGTCAGAAAGTAGTCAACTCCCTGCCGCTGACTGAAGCCTTGAGCCACGTAACGCGCCTTGAA